GTCTGCTCAGTTAGAAATAGGTGCCAAAAACATCACTCCCCCCTCACAGTATGACCCAGAGGAGGCTGGGCCCCAGGCTGAACAGGACCTGCTGGCCAAGATCAGGAGGTTGGAGCCATCATCCATTGAAAAAAACACATCTAGGGACCTCCCTAGTGGCCTAGGAGTTAAGTCTCAGTGCTGCCAACCCGGAGGCCCACCATGCTCTGAGCTGGATCCCTAGCCAGGGAGCTAACCCACATGATACAGCAGACCTCTCCCATCTGGCCTGCTGCTCTCCTCAGCAGTGTATTTCAGTAGATCTGCCTACTCTGCTCCCCACTCTGTCTCTGGTGAATCCTCTCACCTCCCACCACCTCTGGCTTACACCCCAGTTCTATGCAAAAAAACATCCATTTGGTGGTGGATTGTGAAAAAAAAGTGATTATTAGCAAGGGCGAATTGAGTTGCCAATCAGCACAATTTGTTCCACCTGCTTTTCCTATTGCTCCAAATTATTTCCACAACAAACGCAAGTACAGGGTCATGGGGGAGGTCCTCTTTCTCCCCTACACAGGCCTCACCCTGAGCCTCTAACTCAGGTTCAGGTGGTCCAGCCTGGGCATTGAGCTCCTCTCCATAAGCTTTGGGCTGTGCTTGAGGCTGGTTGGCCGGAAGGGCACAGATAGTGTATTGTGATTTGGCCTTTCCTCCGGTGGCCAATATCTGAGTCAGGTTGCTCTGGAACCCCACATGGGGTTAGCTGGCATTCTGTGTAGCCATCCTGTGCACCTCCAGGCAGGTGCAGCACCTGGGTCTCAGGGCTAGGGCCCAGCTTAGCAGGACAGCCCCAGCACAGCAGGACACCAGCAGGAACTGGCAGCCTGAGCCTCTTGACATCATCTGGAGCTGTTTCCCAGATGCACAATTTTTCACCTTTTTATTTTTAAGACCAGGAGAACTCCCCCATTCCCAAATAGCCTGTTTTGAACAATCTCCATTCTCATGAACTCTGTGGAGAGTACATACAAAGGATGAGAGGAAAATGCCATCGTGATCAAAACAACGGTGAGACAGGAGAGTGGCACGCCTTAGTGATAAATGCAGAGACTGCGAGGCTGCCAGTGCCAGCATTATAAGTTGTGTTTTTTTTTTTAAAGATTTATTTATTCATTCAAGAGCTGGGGTACAGGCCAGAGGTTGGGGGGGGTGCGGTAAGAGGATTCACCAGAGACAGAGTGGAGAACAGAACAGGCAGATTGACCAAAGTACCCTGCTGAGGGGAGCAGCAGGCGAGTCAGGAGAGATCTGCTGCATCATGTGGGCTGCTCCTTGGCTGGCTGGGGATCGAACTCATGCTGCAGAGGCTGCGGATAGCTTCATAAGTTGTGTTTTTAATGGCATATATCTTTATCTTTGAGTAGACTGTCTATCCTAGAAAGGCAATATGATGGAGTGAAAGCTACCAGGACTTATATTTACACATAGATAAGATCATGAGAAATGCTCTATGTATTTGTTTAAACTAGACTTCTGCCATTAGCCAAAAGGTCCAAGGAAAAAGGGCACACAATAAAAATGTATGGGTGGGTCAATTCAGGAGCAATCTTTTCTACATGTTATAGACAACACTTGGAATGCATCAGAAATCAGAAAAGGACCTCCTCCCTGACCCTCCACTTGCATTTGTTGGAAAATAATTAGGAAAAATAGGAAAAGCAGGTGGAACAAATTGTGCTGACTGGCATCTCAATTAGCCCTTGCTAATAATGAAGCACATTTTTTTCACCATCCACCAAATGGATGTGTTTTTCAATGGATACTGGACCAATCCCTGTATCTGTGGACATACCTTGATTGTTAACTAATGTTATTGTGGTAATTATTTCACAATATGTACACATATCAAATTATCACACTATACACCAGAAATTTGCGAAATGTCATTTGATAATTATATTTCAATGAAGCTGAGGAAAAGATAAGGGCATAAGGACGGGCTTTAAGGAAACAGATTCAATTAGAGATCATGGAAATTAAAAATCATGATCATCAAAAGAACCCAAAAGGCATGAGCTAAAAAGCATGTTGGGGCCTCCCTGGTGGCGCAAGGGGTTAAGAGGCAACCTATCAAACTGTCCGCAGCCACTGCAGCACGAGTTCGATCCCCAGCCAGGGAGCAACCCACATGGCACAGCAGACCTCTCCTGTCTCACCCACAGCTCCCCTCAGCAGTGTATTTCAGTCAGTCTGCCTGTTCTGTTCCCCACTCTGTCTCTGGTGAGTCCTCACCCTCCCACACCTCTGGCCTGTACCCCAGTTCTTATATGCATAAATAAATCTTTTTTTAAAAAAAGACATTGGACAGAGCTGAAGCTCAAATCAGTGAGTTGAATAAACTGTGACCTTCCCCAAGAGTGATGGGGAGGTGGGAATAAGAAGAAATAAAGGTATGAGAAAATCTGAATATTCATGGAGGACACATTCAGAAGCTCCAAAATCCTCTTAGTAGAAATTCCAGAAGGAGAAAGCAGGAAAAAAATGAAAAGGGTGAAGTGATCAGATAATTTTTAAATCAGATTCTAATGATTTATATTCATTGACAAAACTATAATTGGGGGCATACAGTTGCATACTTCAATATGCACATATACATCCCTTACCCACCACCACACAATCCCAGTGCCATCTCTATCAAATTGACCCCTAATCCCCTCTCCTCCCACCCATTGCCTCTTCCCCTTTGGTAATCACCATATTTTTCGCAGTCTAGGAATTATTTTTGTTGTATTTAACCAGTCTATTTCCTTTTATTCGCATTTGTAAAGGCAGGAATAGGATACAGGGCAGGTTCTCTGACCCAGCAGACCGGGTAAAGGAGGAGTCAGAGTCCTCAGTGGCTTTTGCAGGTCTTTTATTTGGATTTACCAGGCATATGGCAGGCAGGGGTGCTGGGAGGCTGGCAGTCCTCCCTGCCCCCAGCAAATCCTCACTCTATCTGGGCTCTCCGGCGTTTTCTGGGGGTCTCTTCTTCTCTCGGTTTCCGTTCTTTCTTTGCTTCTCGGCCTCCGCTGGCATCCTGGTGATGCTGCCCTTAAAAGTACAGTCTCAGCCCAGGTGAATCCCATCTACCTATGCCCACACCCTACTCCAGGTGCCCGCCATCAGGCATGCATTCAGCACCGCAAGGATCCATCATCTCTCCTGATGGCGGGAGGGCAGAAAAGCCTGACATTTTTCGTTACCCTACACATTCTACACGTGAGCAGAGCCATCCAGTAACTGTCTTTCATTTTCTGACTTATTTCACTTACTTTAGTATAGTCACCGCAAGTTCCATTCATGTATAAGCAGATGATAAATAGAAGCAAAACCCTAACAGGAAAGAGCGTTGCCCATATAGTACTAGGTCAAATAAATTAAAACAGTAATAGTCAACCCACCCTAGTTATAGCTGTAGGAAATTTCAGAAACACTAAGAACAAAGTCAAAATTGTAAAAGGCCTTCAGAGAAGGGGAAAAAAAAACCACAAAGAAAAAAGAATCAAACTTTTTATTGCAGCAATGGATGCCAAAATAGAAAGAGGTTAGGGGAAAATAATCATTAATATCAAATTCTCTATGTATAAAAATTATCGTTGAAGAATGACAACAAAATATAAGCATTTTCCATTGTACTAAGATTCAATTAAATATGACTCTTTAATATACTTAAATTTGTACTTTGGAAAATAGTCAAATGGAAGAATTAAGAAGACAGGTTATAAGAAACAGTGAGAAGAAAAACTGTTAAAGCACAGCTAGGTTAAATAATCATTGATTACAAAAAAAAAAATCACCTCAATTAATGGGAGTTGTCATGGAGAAAAAGATGCAGTGCATGTTAAAGCTTTTGCTTTGGGGAGCACAGAGGTAAATGTATTGATTATATCTATTTTTTAACTTGATTATGAAAAATTGCAAATATACATAAAAAACTAACAACAAACATCACTATACCCAGAACCTAGGCATGACAATTGTGCACATTTTGCCATATTTTTATGGTATTTTTAATTCCCAGATATCATGACTGTTCACCAGTAAGTATCTCTAATGACATTTTTACATAACCAAGATACCATTATGACACTAAGCAAGATAATGACAATTCCTTAGTATCATTTAATATCCAGGTCATATTCAAATTTCTCTAATTGTCCCAGAATTTTTTTTTTTTTAGTTATTTTGTTCATACCAGATCCACACATATTTTGTTGGTATGTTTCTTAAGTGTCTTTTAATTCTGAAAAGCCCCCAATTCACTCCAATGCCAAAAGGAAAAGGAAAAATCTCACAAAAAACTCCCATTTTAAAAAATTTAATTAGCTTATGAAGAGCCCAGTTCCACTCTTAATTAAACTAGCAAAAGACCAGGTCATAGAATGACCCACAATCTGAATTTGTTTGTCTATGGTAGTGCCATTTAACTTGTCTTTTTTTAATTAATAGAAAGTTTGATCTAAAGGTTTGATTAAGTTTAATAGTGTTATAAAGTAGTTCTAAGTCATGAGGAGCATTCCATGTTACATCTCAGCACAAAGCACACTCTGCCAAATTAACCATTTTTAGAGTTGCTAAGTTTTGTCAGCAGGTTGAGGTGGTGACGATCTGACCTCTCCATTGCAAAGTGACATTCCTCCCAACTCCAGCTTATAATCAGCAAGTTATTTTTAGGATGAGCCTTTATACTTTGGGAAAATTACTCTTAATTTACAAGACAGGACAAATAAGAAATGATTTAAAAATTAACAAATTAGAACACTGCATATCAAGAAACCAGAAAGATAAACACAAAGATGTCAGAAAGAATGGATTTATTTTATAGAGGCATGTTATTTATTTATTTACTTGTTTGTTTTGTTTATACAAGCACTGGGTACAGTCAGAAGCACGGGAGGGTGAGAGAATTCACCAGAGCCAGAGCGGGTTTGCAGAGCAGGCAGAAAGACCGAAGTACACTGCTGAGGGGAGCAGCGGGCGGCAGGAGAGGTCTGCGCGCCATGTGGGACCCTCCTCCGGTGACCGGGGAGCAGCCGGGGATCGAACCGGCGCTGCAGAGGCTGCGGGCAGCTTTGCAACCCAGCGCTCAACCGCTGCGCCACCGGGGAGGCCCAAGAATGGATTTAAAGAAACTGGTGAACCAAGAAAAAACAGATCTGTCCAATAAACAAACCAAAATCTGTTCTTAGAAAAGATCAGTAAAATAGAAAAATAACTGGCAAGACAGGAAAAGGAGAATGTGTGCAAATAAGTAACAGAGAGTATGTGAAAAATTATGGGTAAAAGGGAGTATGTGAAAAATTATGGGTAAAATTCTGAGAAAGTATAAATAACCCGCTTGGCTCCAAAAGACATTTTAAAACCTGAATTAGTCAACATGAGAAGTTAATCTATTAAAATAAGCTGAATTAACAAAATTGGTCCATTGATGAAGGTTACCACTTAACAGATTGAAGAAGGAAAGCATTGTGAAAGTAATAATACAGCAATTTCTATGTGCCAGGCACAGGACTTTGCCAGTTCTGATTGCTTTAAATATATTAACTCATTTAGTTTAAATAAATGCTAAAAGTCACTTAATTAAATTCAATCCCATTCCTGATTAAAATCATAAAAAGGATTTTTTTTTCTTTTTTTTTCTGTAGGACCCTCGCCGTTGGCCAGGGATCGAACCAGCCCTGCAGAGACTGCGGGCAGCCTCGCAACCCAGAGCTCAACCGCTGTGCCACCAGGGGAGGCCCCAGAAATATATTTTAGACAAAGAAGCATCACTATCAAAAAGAAAAAAAAGTTTATCTACCAGAAATTCATAGGAAATGTTGATGGTGGTATTGGAACTGTTCTTATCAAATATCAGAAACTGAACTCAAAATAGTGTAAATAGAAAATGTATTTTCACGAGTTACAGAAGTTTCAGGGAATTCATCTACATTGGTAAACTACCTGGATCCAAGGTATTCCTAACTGGGGAACAATAGGTGATTCAATTTGCAAGAGTATCACAATTTTGAAATAGTCACAGTGCATATAAACTAAGATCCAATTTACAAGAATTCAAAATATATACACATTGTCAGAAATATTTCAGGTGTATCTGTGCCCTAGTCCTTTGATTTCTTTTACTACCTACAGTTGATGCAAGACGACTAAATCCATATAAATCAGGAAAAAACCATAGACCACCCCACCTCATCCTCGTTTTGTTTTATGGGTTTTTGTTTGTTTGTTGATTGATTGGGATTGTTCGGTTTTGTTGTTTGGCTTACATCACCCACCCCATCATCATTCTAAGCCCTCCCTCAGAGTTTGCTTGTGGTCTGAACAAGATGTTGCCTGAAGAATTTCAGGATCTCTCCCCAGGAGTGTTCCTGAGCTGCTGCATGGCGAGCAGTGTCCCCTCCCCAGAGCAGGGGCAAGGGTAAGTTGGGGTTCCAGGAAGCATAGCACAGGGGTCCATAGGGAGGCTCTAAGAGATGGCCAGCCCCGGGATACGACAACATTCTTCCATTGCTTTTCCCGTGACTGTGCAGCCGCTCAATGGCCTGCTCAGCACATTTTATGCTATCCAGACATCCATCACTCTCGGATGCAAGGAAGAGGATCGGACCTTGGGCCTTTTCAACAGGAAGCAAGTTCTCCAGATTCACTGTGCTCTGTGCCATCTGGTAGTTGCGGTAGTTTGCAGCACCAGAGACATCAATCTGTATGAACTCCGGAAACACGGGTAAGGAAGACAAAACCTGATCTCTGTACCTGTGCGGCATGTCGGAGACCCAAGTGGGCGCATTGATGCAGACAGTGGCTACCACCTGTCTCAGGAAGCAGGCCATGCCTAGGGCGATTTCTCCCCCTTTGCTCACCCCAATCACTCCGACTCCTGGTCCTTGGACCTGAAGCAGAAACGCAAGGGAACTCATTATAGGCCTTATGCTGGGCATCAGCTGTCCTTACCAGCTAGTGGGCAAGTAAAATGGACAGAACAGGTGGGAGTCCTGGCACTAGGCCTTACCAGCTCCTGTGACTGAGAACACTACCTACTTATCCCTTCTAAGTCTTATTGTCTTAAGGTATGATATTATCCACCTTACAGAATTGTTATGGGGACAAAGGGAAACAATAGAAATAAAAATTCATCAAAAGCAGACTTCTTAAGTGCAAAAAAACTCTAATTCACCAAGAACGTTTTACATCACAAGAGGAGAGGCAGGTAAGCTTTCTTTAAAAAATCAAATTCTCTCCACGTAGATAAAAAGTTTTCCTGAGTTCTTTCTAATGTTATGGAAGTGTACTTCATAATTAAATAGCATTTTACAACTAGAAAGGTTTTTGACATCCATTAATCCAGTGGCTAATCCTGAAAGCATTGGGAATATAAAGATGAAAGACCTGGATTCTATAAATAATTGAATTTCAGTGCCAAGTCCAATAAGAACAGAGGTAGGTCATAGTAGGACTCTAATTCTGTAGGTTTGAGGGGGCTGAGTTATGGGAAGAAGGTTGAGAGATGGGTGAAGAAAGGAAGGGCATTCTGAACAGACAACAGCAAATACGTAGTGAGTTGGTCTGTTATTTTTGCCCACAATTACAACACCAACACCTATCAATCATCACAATCACCTATAAAAACTTGTACTAGAGATTTCTGAGGTCAAATTTTCCTAGTTTCTTCTTCAGTAGGTCTGAGTGATTGCAAGAATCTGATGTCATAAGATATCCCCAAGGAAATCCGATGTTCATGAGCACTTGAAACCATCTGTTTGGAGAATGGATGGGGCAATGAGAGAGAAACAGGAAATGGATTGACACCTGAGTGCAGTATCACAGATGAGTATTGATGAGGGAAAGAACCAAAACAGTGACACAAAGGATGAAGTGGGTATGATAAATTAAGAAAGATTGTAGAACCTGAAACACTTTGAGATTGATTGAGAATGTGGGGAAAGGAAAAGGGAAGAAATAAGGGTGAATTTTCTGAAAGTTCACTATATGTTAGGCCTGAGGCTAAGTGATTTACACATATTATCTCAGTTCTGCTGATAAGAAAATGGAAATTCAAGACGTTTAAAAGTCTTGCTCAGGCCTCCCTGGTGGCTCAGGGGATTGAACGCAGCTTTGTGAAGCTGTCCGAGTTTGCGGTGCAAGTTTGATCCCCAACCGGCTAGGAGCAATCCATATGGCGCAGCAGACCTCTCCTGTCTCTCCCGCTGCTCCCCTCAGCAGTGTATTTCAGTACATCTGCCTATTCTGCTCCCTGCTCTCTCTGGTAAATCTTCTCAAACCCCCCCCACCCCCACTACCCTGGCCTGTACCCCACTTCTAACACAAACAAACAAAAAAATTAAAAAAGTCTTGCTCAAGGTTACAACACTCATGGGGCATAGATAGGATTTGAACCTCTTCTACTGAATCCAAATCCAAATTGAATGTTGGCAATTGCCTTATCTCCTCAGACAATGTCACAGATGGCTAATTCTGAAATTAAAAAAAAAATTAAATGGAAAACATTCTATCTGGGATTTAATTCCTTTTAGGCGATCTTTCGAAAAAGTCAAACATGCTTAGAAACATCACTCATTTGATAATGACACCTCATGATTCTCCCATAGAAAACATATCCAGCTCTCCTTGAGAAGAGTCAGGATCTCCAGAGAGAGAGAGAGAGAGAGAAATACAAGCCAGGGAGTTGTAACAATTTGGAGCAAAGACATTGTCAGAAAGGCTCTGTCGCTTGAGGGTTATGTAGTTAGACATAACTACTTAATCTGAAAAATTAAGAAAAATAACTGAAAAATAACAACTATGACATTGTACTTCACAAATTTATCATGACATTAATGTGCCTATAAAGTATTTTGTGGAGTCGAGAAAATAGTCAATATGTGTTAGCTGGTATGATTGTTTTACCATGGTTAAGTTGAACCATAAGAAATGGTATTTGAACATTTTTGAACTAGAAAATGATAATTTAATATGATCCAATGCAACAAAATGTCAACTCTGACTCCTGACCCAGTGATATCTATCCTACATTTTTTTTTTTTTTAAGATTTATTTATGAATACAAGAGCTGGGTACGGGCCAGAGACGTGGGTGTGGGGTTGGGGGTGGTGAGAGGATTCGCCAGAGACAGAGTGGGGAACAGAACAGGCAGATTGACCAAAGTACACTGCTGAAGGAAGCAGTGGGTGAGACAGGAGAGGTCTGCTGCGCCATGTGGGTTGCTCCCTGGCTGGCTGGGAATCTAACTCGTGCTGCAGTGGCTGAGGACAGCTTCATAGGTTGCGTCTTAACCCTTGCGCCACCAGGGAGGCCCCTATTCTATGTTTCTTTTTTGAGTCATGACCATAATATCAGTACTTTGGGAGCTCAAAAGAACTAAACCATAACTCATCTGACATTTAACTCCCAGGAAAAAGCTGGGTTCTGAAATATATTGTTTCTGTCCTTCTCAATGTGGATCACCTGGGAATCTTGTTGAAATGCAAATGCAAATTCAGGTATGGGGCTCGAGAACCTGTGTTCCACTGGTCTCAGGTGATGCTGAGGCCTCTCTGTCCATGGGCCACACTTTCAACAGTACAGAGATACTACACAAAAAGATATAAAATAACACTTCCTTTGCAGACTCCTTTCCCAAATTGGCTCCTGGCATTGGACTCTTACTTTAGCCACTTCTGTCCTTAGATCTGAAACTAAACAGCTAATTCAGCTAATCAGATGGTACAGTCAAATCATTTTGCTGATGACACTGCTCTGCACCATACCAGCTCTGACACTGGACTTTATCGAAGGATTCTGTGTGACTTAGTCCAGCATCCCCCCATCCAGTGATAATCCACAAAGTTTGTAAATGTATCAAGCTAGAGAATTCATCACATAAGATCCATGGTTGATAAAACATTTATGAGCCACTGGTGATAAGTCACAAACTCTTCAAATGTAACATGTCTTAACTTTTTTTTTCCATTAAAAGTTCAGAACTGGGGCCTCCCCTGGTGGTGCAGTGGTTGAGCGCTGGGCTGCGAAGCTGCCTACAGCCTCTGCAGCGCCAGTTTGATCTACGGCCGCCGGCGAGGGTCCCACATGGTGTGCAGACCTCTTCTGTCTCGCCCGCTGCTCCCCTCAGCAGTGTATTTCGTCAGTCTACCTGTTCTGTTCCCCGCTCTGGCTCTGGTGAATTCTCTCACCCTCCCATGCTTCTAACTGTACCCAGTGCTTGCATAAATAAATAAATCTTTAAAAAAAAAATTCAGAACATACCTGCTATTTATTACCTTCTTTGTGCCAGTTATCACTAGACTGATTGCTAATCTACCCAACAATTCTACAAGGGAAATATTATTCCCCATTTTAAGTATAAACTGTTCTATAATCAAGTCTAAAGAGATTGGTGAAATAGGGAGAATATACACTCATGAATTTTTATGTGTTTTTTTATTTGCTGTAATGTTGCAAGGTAAAATTTAAAGTATTATAAATACCTTTGGCTGTGATAATAGAAAATTGGCAGCTTCCTCAAAATATTCCAGATCCACTTCTTCCAGGTGGCTGGGCAGGTCTTCGTAGGCAAAATATGCTAATGCCAATGCTGCAAAGCCACGGCTGGCCAAGAGACTGGCACGAAATTCAACTAGACCCCCAATGCCCCCAAACAAATCAATAATTCCTGGAAAAGGGCCTTCCCCTATGAGCAACAAAGAAAGAAGAATCTGATTCAGGAAGAATGAAATGAGAGTCGATGAAAATTGAGACAATGGAAATACAGGTTAAGCAAAATGAATTAATTCTACCTTCACACACACAAAATGGCATGTTAGCTTTTAAATGTTGTAGAAAACACTTGTTCACTGATGGTCTTTATTTTCATTTTGCTACCATCCACACAGTAGTCTACCACCAAAGATTAAACTCACCTGGAGGGAGAAAAAGGGCTCCTCGCACGCGCCCTACTCGTATCGGCACCCGCTGCAACCCAGGGGCTGAGAACCAGCGCTGCACTGTCTGGCTGGCCTTAGGCTTCTCAGTGGCTGATTCTTTGAGGGAAAATGTGTCATAGAGGTCCAGAGTGACCCTATAGGGACTGTTCATCACATCCTTCTTAAGCAGCCTCTTGAAAGCCTTCTTAGGCTTTAGAGACCAGAAAAGTCCCATTGGTTCAACCCCCACATAATCGCCTCCAACTGCAGCATCCTGTTTCAGGTCCAGCTCACCAGCCTTGTTTGTCCTGTAAAAGGCTCTGCTATGAAACAGATTCCCCTTCTCATCTGTCAGAGAGGCCTTGAGGGTCACCAACTCTGATGGGGGCAAGCCTGTTGCTCGGATGTGCACTGGCTCATCGATGAGGGCACTTTCTGGGGTGACTGTCAGCCGCGACATTGGCAACGGGCCAAGTGGTGTTTCCTGCCCTGCTTGTGAAACAGGAGACTTTAAGTTAGACTTAGTTTCCAAAGGAAAAGTTCATGTGAGGTTTAGCCACATTGACTTGAGGAGACACTGCAAAATCTGTAGAACATTTGGAGGAGGGAGAAGATGTGCAAAAAATACTCATTATTCTCATTTTATATGTAAGGAAAAAGGTTACTTTGAAGTGGAAAATGTTGATTAGCTGAAATTGGGACATGGTCTGTAGACTGAAAGTTTCAGGGAACAGCCGGTAATCACCCTGAAGGGCACACACACACCCTGATTCATGCATTTCCAGATGGCGGTACCCCTTGCTTTAAATACTCTGTAACCTAGTGGCTCAGGGCTCAGATTTAGAAGAAAGATCGCCTCAGGGCCCACAGGTGTAAAGCCCACTGGCATAAATAAAGAGCTTCCCTCCTCCTCTCTGAGCAATGCCTGCTTCCCTGATGGAATTCTGCCCTGACATTTTTGGTTCCCTGACCGGAAAGCTGGCTGTGCTGGCCCATTGTGCCACCGGCCTGGAGATAGGGCAATGACTGGTTACTCTCCCTGAAGAGAATGAGGTGGCGCCTCCCATCTTGTTTAACGGTCCTCCTTCCTAGGGTGGGAATCAGCCTGTCACTGCTGCTGCACCCCAACCGGACTCTGGGGAGAGGTGGACAGAAGTGCCAGAGACCTCAGAACATGGTAAGAACCCCCGGGAGCCCAGCCCGAGGTAGATCCATCCTAACAGATGGAAGGGGAGCCTAATCACCTCCCAGAGCCCAATTTTGGAGCCAGTTAGAAACCCCTGCAGGTGGGAAATGTAATAACTTCTGAAAGACTGACTGTTTTGATGGGGGGGGGGTGGGTGTGTGTGTGTGGGGTGTGTGTGTGTGAGTGTGTGTGTGTGAAATCTCCATGCCTCTGGCTCCAGAGACTTGAAACTACGGTTCCCTGGCGACGTCATACAGCATAACAGTGACTGGCCCACTCATGGAACAGCCTAGCCTGGGGGTTGTACAGACTCAGCACAGATAAGATGCGCCGAAAGTCTCCTGAGGGATGCGCCAGACAAGCGCCTTTGTGTGTCTCCCCTCCCTTGTCACAACACTGAACACAATGGCAGGGACTCAGAGTAAACCTACAGTCCTTGATTACAAAAATCTGGCCCATAAACAGCATCCTCAGCTGTAACACCCTTCTCCAGCTAAACCTCTTTTGCCATGACCAAGGCAAGAGATTAAATGCTGGGAACTAAAGTCAGGGACCCACTGCAGCTGGCTGGTGTTGGGGGGCTGCCTCTTGTTGGTACAAGCAGCTGCCTGGAACTTTGTGCCAGTGCTGAGACATATTGATGTGTCTCTGCTGCCTTCCAGCTACCTTTCAAAAGGAAACTGGACTCTTCTTTTGTCCATCTTAAGACACTGTTCTGATCCATTTCAAAAAGTCTATTTCCCTGTGTTTTTCTAATCTTGAAGTTTAGACTATTTAAGGTAAAAGCTGCTGAGTTACTTTGGGTTTGCTAGCCAGCTATACAGAATGCTTAAGTTTGAGTAAAAAACTCCTAAATTGCCTATTGGACCTGTAAAAGTTTAGTTTCTTAATCCCTAAGGGGAAAAATGTGTTGTTTGCCTTAAAAATATGCTTGACCTCAGTAAAATAGAACAAAAACATGTAAAGTCAAGGGATCTATTCTTAGAAATACAAACTCAAAAATATTTTCTTATCTAAGAAAGTCTTTAAAATTGTTTTGGTCTTGGGCCCTAGGTTTTTGGTAATGGTTAAAACTGGGCACTTATCCCATATATATATATATGGATTTTAACTTCTGATTGAAAACCTTCTTAATATAAAAGTGTATTAAAAAATATTAAGGGCCTCCCTGGTGGCACAAGGGTTGAGCGCCGCTCTGTGAAGCTGTCCACAGCCTCTGCAGTGCGGGTTCCATCCCGGCCAACCGGCGAGTATCTCACATGCCGAAGCAGACCTCTCCTGTCGCACCTGCTGCTCCCCTCAGCAGTGTGTTTCTGTAGTCTGCCTGTTCTGCTCCCCACTCTGCCTCTGGTGAATGCTCTCACCCTACCATGGCATGCCTTGGCCTGTACTCCAGTTCTTGTATTTAAAAAATAAATAAATCTTAAAAAAAAAATTAAAAGAAAATTATTTTCTTTTTAAAGTGTGTGTTTACACATCTAAGTCATCTAATCCAAAGAGATAATAGTATAACAGCTATTACAATGTCTTACGAAACAGAGGATGGAATAAATGTAATAAAGTGTATGTTTTAAAAAATGTATTGAAAATGGATATTTTAAAGGTCCTGAAAGTAAAGTTTAAAAAAAAAAGTGTTAAAGGTCTGAAAGAGGGAGCAAAAATAATGTTAAGAAAGCAAAAAAAAAAAAAAAAAAAAAAAAAAGAGTAGAGAGAGAAATCTTTAAAAAAAAAATTTGTGATTCAATAACTTACTACGAACTGTAAACATGGCCTTGAAGGCCTACATTGAAAGGAAGGAGACAGGCTACAAAAAAAAAAGGTAGAGGGACAAGGGCCCAGTATATGGCAGTTGCCATTGCTGGTACCCTGCCACCTCAAACTCACCTGAGGCCCCGTGCATCCCAGGTATTTGGGACCTCAAACTGTTCATGGGCTGCCAGCCTGATTCCACTGCCAGGAACTGGGGCACCTCAGCCACGAGTGTCTGAAGAAGCCGCCCCCAGGGCCATGGCCTCAGTGCCATCATGCAGGGCACTGGAAAGAGACTGTTCCACTCTCTGAGTGAGAGGGGGGTCAGCCCAAACCACAGGCCAAGATGGGAGAAGAGACTTGACTGTCAGCTGCCTCTGACTATGAAGAACCAGATACAGGAGAAGACGTTTTCTGAAGCAGCCCAGAGGTGAGACAAGCCTTGGGTGATCCTAAAAGTAGCAGACAAAAAAAAATGAACTTCTTGGTGAATAAGGGGCCACTTACTCTGCCTTGCTCCAATTCTTTAGACTGGCCTAGTCCTCAACTATCTCCCTCCCTAGTATTGATGATTAGCCTGAGCCAGGACACTTTACAACACTGCTACCTTGCTCATGACCAAGGCTGGGGGAGTTTATGCCCTCTTCAATAAAACAATTGCTTTTTTTAGATTAACACTTCTAGTGAGGTAAAAGAAAACCTGAAAGTATTTTTTAAAAAAATCTGTATTATAGGACCTCCCTAGTGGCGCAGAGGATTGAGCACAGCGCTGCGAAACTGTCCGCTGCCTCTGCAGTGCCGGTCGAGTCCTGACCGGCCAGGGAGATTCCCACATGGTGGCCACAGACCTCTCCTGTCGCACCCGCTGCTCTCCTCAGCAGTGGTTTTGGTCCGTCTGCCTGTTCTGCTCCCCACTCTGGTGAATCCTCTCACCCTCCCGCGCCTCTGGCCTGTACCCTAGTTCTTGTATAAATAAATAAATCTTTTAAAAAAATATATATATATATTTTAAACAATTTTACTTTACTTTTTTATAGATGACCTTAAAAGACAGGTAGGACAAAAACATAGCTGGCTACAATCTATCTTTGCCTCTATAGGGAACCAGCTTCTGTCCTGGTTGCTCCCATTTCTTGTTCCCTCACTAATTTTCTTTATTATCCTATTGTTCTAGACTTGCATCCTCAACTCTCTCCTCCAAATCATCCCCTCTTGCCTAAAGTCCAGCAGACTCCAAGTCCAGCAGTCCTTCAGATGAAGCCTGGTATGACACTTCCACCGTTCTTCTTCCAAGGTCCCTTAGCTCTTTGCCCTGCACTGGAGCCCTGACTTCTTCTCCCTCCCACCCTCCACCCCCCACCCCCAACCCCTGTTGCCCATTTTCAGCAGGAAGCAGTTACTGATCAGATCGACGCCTTTTGTCTTACCAGCAGTTAGGGGCTCCATCCATAGAGGGAGAAATGAGTCCCAAGGCAAGTTAGGGTTAATTAGGCAGCTCAGGGACAGTACAGGCAGGGACTTCGGGAGAGTTAATGAGGTTGGTAAGATGAAGACAGTAAGTTCTAAAAAGTGCTAACCAAAACATACTCTAGAGGTGAGGTCAAAAGTGTGGAGGACTAAACAAAAACAGTACATTGGACAATGTCTGGCAACTAATTTCTCTTGCACACATGGAACCCTCAAAAACTGCCTTTGAAGGCTGCACCCAGAGATCTGTGCCACCGTAGATATGGTGGGATAAAAATTAAAAGGAGGGAAATGAAGTGGAAAATGTCAGGCTGACTTGTTGATTAGCTGAAGTTGGGACATAGTCTGTAGACTGAAAGTTTCAGGGAACAGCAGTAATCACCCTCAAGGCCACACACACACCCTGATTCATGCATTTCCAGATGACTGTACCCCTTGCTTTAAATATTCTGTAACCTAGTTGCTCAAGGCTCAGACATTGGGGAGAGATCGCTGGGCCCCACAGGTGTAAAGCCTTCAGGCATAAATAAACACCTTCCCTCCTCCTCTCTGAGTGATGCCTGCTTCCCTAATGGAATTCTGCTATAACAAAGTGACATGCTCCAAGTCTCACAAAGAATTAACAGAAGAATTGGAAAATCCAGTCCATCTGACACCACAGCCTCCTGTCCTATCCATTATAACACTGTAGTAAATCTCAGTGTTGAATAAGCTGAGATTGAATTCCTCAGCTGAGATAATACTCAAGTGAGCGATTTCATAGGGTGTTTGTTAGGATTCAAGAAGTTAGAAATGCTAAAGGGCTTACAGGAAGGTCTATGCTGCTTTCAGCCCCATACCCATCTGGTGCACAATTACATGAACAAGAAATAGTTTATGGTGTTTTGTTTTTTTAATTCTCTAATCCCTTCCTGCCATTGTAAGACCTCCAGCTTTTTCAGTTTCCCATTATATGTTCAAAAGAAAATAAAATTTCACAATCTTGTCTCAGCTTTCAAGCCTTTCCAGTGGAGGGATGAATATCAAAATGTTGTTTATAGTAAATATATATCTGATCAGTTATTTTGTGTGCTTGCATTATGGAAAAAAATTGGGATAGTTCCTTCTTTCCTCCCTGTTTCCTTCTTTCTTTTTCTTCTTCCTTCTCTTCTTCCATCTGTTGCTTGTTCCATAAAGGATTTGAGACTGTTTTCATGTAAACTTTACAGAGTGGTAAAGTAAAAAAAAAAAAGGTCAGATCATACGAACTAGAATCAGAGGCATTGGTCAATGAAAATGTGGCTGTGTGAAAAGACAAGCAGCTGGAGGGTTGTAAGTTTGGCCCTGAATTAGTGAGGTTTGGGCCTGTGAACCCTAAAGCAAATAGTGTGATAAACCAACATTACCTCAATAAAAAATGATTTGGGACAATATATAAATATATAAATAAAATAAAATTAATTTAATTTAATTAATTCTGAAAACCAAACCAAAAAATTGAGGCCTTTCCAAAATTTAGTTGTAAAAAAATGAGACATTGACATAGCCATGCACCACTGTTAGGTGTCTTCGCAAATTTTTTGATTCTTTAAGGGATCCTAAATTTTATTTTATGGAAATGCAAAATAAAGCTTTAGGGTTTAGATCTGGGAGCAGAAAAACTTTGGGAGGAAATGATCTGACTTTGTCAGTGTGAGGGCAGAGAGGGCTCTTGATGTCTAATTCTTCACTACAGCAAGGGGTCAGTGCAGGTAGGAGTTCATCAAAGGGAAAATGTCTTTTTGCACCTAAAAATATGCAATTTTTTTTAATTTATTTATTTATACAAGCACTGAGTACAGTCAGAAGTACGGGAGGGTGAGAGAATTCACTAGAGCCAGAGCGGGGAACAGAACAGGCAGACCGACGAAATACACTGCTGAGGGGAGCAGCGGGCGGCAGGAGAGGTCTGCACGCCATGTGGGGCCCTCGCCCGGTCACCGGGGATGAAACCGGTGCAGCAGAGGCTGCGGGCAGCTTCACAGCCCAGTGCTCAACCGCTGTGCCACCAGGGAGGCCCAAAAAATGTGATTTTCTACAAAGAAAACATATCCACTTGATCCTGCAGCAATAGCCATTTTTACTGACCATTTTATGTAAACCTGAACTCATGGGCAGCAGAATAATTTTGAATAAGTAGAATGATTTTAAGTGTTTCTCCTCGCTTCTGGGAAGTTCTTAACAGAGGTATTTCAGTGTTCCACAGGAATTACAGATCTGATCCTTCTATAAAACTTTGTCTATTTCCTTTTCCCCCAAATAAGAGGTCATCAAGAAGCAATGGTTGATTCCCCCTATTTAATAAATTTTTCCCAACTCTTATTATTATTCTATATAATGCATTGATTTAACACAGACTCTATTTCCAAGTCGAGTTAATTTAATTTGCTTATCATAATCACTCTCTACATGCATGCTGCATCTGGTCTTATCCCCCAAGAGGACTGCAAACCCCTAAATGTTAAACTGTATGTGCTAAACTTTAGCAATCCTGTTGAAATGTCATGACATTCATAACAAAAATAGAACCAAAATGTAAAAAAAAAATAATTGTATTTGCAGAGTGTTTTTTGTAACAGAAAACACAGGGGATTCTTCCCAAGTCATGGTCCCTCTTTATCTGAGAACTGCCCCCTAAACCCTCAAATGGGTACTCAGCAACATTTATTCCATGTGACCTCAACCCTGGGACCATAGCTGATTGGATCAAGGCTGGAGACCGGATCCAGGATGTGCCAGGAATGTTCTCCTCCCTCCAGTTTAGATGTGGGGCCCAGAGATGCCCTGTCAGAGTCGAGACTAAAGCTGAGGCAAGAAAATACCTACGTGGCAAAATTTACTATGTGGCCAAACCTTGAAGCCCTCCTGAAATTTTGCATCCTTGGAACCTCTCTTGCTTCACCTTCATCCTTGCCCTGGACTCTTCACAGTGACTCAATCTATAAAATTCAGAAGCTGGATCCAGATAATAACAAAAAACCAGTCTTGGATAGAGTGTGGGAGTTTGAGGCAGCACGGACAGAGAAATGTGATTGTTCTTATCCTGAGAAACTCCTGAAGAAAAGGTAGCTCATCTACAAAGTCAGGGGTTGTAAGTGTAAGGAGTAAGAGATATGATATAGTAGGTTCCTGAAGGCTAGAGTCTTTGAGAGAATCTGTCTTAGACTTAAATTTTGCTTTGGGTCTCAGCACTCAGCTGACTAATGTATTCTTGATATTTTTAGCTCCTCACTTTTCTGGTGCTCCTATTAAATGTGTTAATTTGTTGATTCCGATTTATCAGAAATTCTTTGTCATGGTCATTTTTATTCAATAATTGGATTTTTGCCATTTACACCAAAGTATATACAAAAGATTAGTTTATAGTTGATATGATTTTGACATGCACAAATAAATGAAACAGAGTGGGAGGGAGGAAAGAGAGACAAAGAGACAGAGAGACCATCTAATCAGTCAACTGTGTGTGCTTGGGAATGGCGTATCAGTTTTCCCAACCAAACAAGTCTAAAAAAGACCAATATGATTAGTGATCCTATAGTCATTGCCCTTGGAAAGTGGGTTAAGACATGTTTTCACATGTTGATAAAGGCAGGTGTGCCCTCATGGAGTTTTGTAGGTATCTAAGGCAAAGTTCAACAGATCTTTTTTTTCAAAAAATGTTTACAAGCCTGACATACTTCAACTAATCAGGCCTAGGTGCCATCTGCTTCTTACATACAACACCCCTTTACATATTCGATAGAGACAAGAAAAGTCTTAGATTAAAACACACACACACACACACACACACATCAACACAAGAAAACCTCTATGCTAGAGATTCTTAAGTGGAAATCTGAGGAGCCTAGGTTCTGCAAAATGTCACTAAAGTTTTCATAAGAGTTCAACAAGTATGAACTTCAAGAGTCATGTGATGCTTGTATGCTCAGTGATGGATAGTGACTAAGCAATCCTAATAGTGATTTCTTTATAGGCTTTTCATCCCCAAAGGGCAGTGCATAAAAAGACGATGTCGACTGGTTGAGTCCATTCACAGCTTTGAATACAGGACAGAGGACACCACTGATGGTTTGTGAGCATCACTCTACATGAAGAGGAGGGTGGGAGGCTGTTAGTGTCTATGTCTTAGATCCTAAGTTACAGTATCCATATTTTGCTATTGTGTTGGACAATTTAAGTACAGAACATTTTCATCATCACAGAATATTAGTAGGGCAGCTCTAGATTGTAGATTGTAACTTCTTCCTTAGGGCAGGAGTTATATACCTTGCTCAACACTCTAATCCTCAATCCCTACACTAGTACCTGGCATTAGTGATTGTTCAGTAAGTGTTTGAAGAATTAAGGTATAAAGAGAGTAAATGATATGTGAAAGAGCAAAGAATGAGAGACAGAGAGATAGAAATTTCTTAGATCTGAAGAACAAAAGCCAAATTGAATTTTTGTAGACTGCTTCAGGAAATGGACTCTTCAAAATCTAATGGAATCAAATTTCCAGATTTTCTCACATCCTTACAGCTGAAGAGAGACTCTGATACCACACAGCATTGAGAAACCAAGTGTGCAAAACAGTGACAAAGCAAGAAATAAGAATTCAGCTGCCCACATGCATCATCCCTGAGGCAAGAATTCCTCAAATATATGAAATACTAACATAATCTGAAAGCTCAAAGCCATGTTGATCCGGTTCTAGCCCTCAGAGTTTCAGGGTCACAGGTATCAAGCCATTGCCAATGAGTGACCTTGCCTTGTGAGGGGGAACAGTCAAGAACTGACATGCCAGCAAAGCAGGAGGCAAACAAAAATTAACTACAGGTCACTCACGTAAATTAAAATTACCCGCCTGTTCTGCTCCCTACTCTGTCTCTGGTGAAGCCTCTCACCCCCACACCTTGCCCCCGACACCTCTGGCCTGTACCCCAGCTCTTGTGTGCATAAATAAATCAATCTTTAAAAAAAATTACAAATCCAGAAATAGAAATTCCATACCCCTTAGGAGCCTGTCTCTCATCTTTCCTCACAGGAGTATTTTCTCCTTCTCCTCCCAAGTAATTCAATTCTCTTTATAAGTTTACATTAATAGGACCCTAATTTTTGCAGCAAAGTATACATTTTGCTTCCAAAATAGTGTCTGGTCAATCTCGTGGTTAGGTTGATACAGCTAACATAAATCTGTGTTTCTGAGCAGTAAAACCACTCAAGATGGTGATTGTTGGTTCCCTCACAGAACTGTGCTGCCGGCTGAGAAGAGAGAAACACAGGAAAGTGAAAACAGCCTTCCCAGGTGCCCTGTGAGTTGAAATCAGAAAGTAATCCTTGTTGACTAGGCAGTGACAGCCCTGGCTCCCCACTCACCTGAATTGTGCTGCAGGAAGCAGCCTCAGGAGGGAGGACTTGCAGAATCAACTTAGAAGCACTGGACTCTTGCCTGTTGCTCAATAATTTATATCTTCAAAACACTCCACCCTATCTTTCAAAATTGAAATTGTCCCCACAGAATCGGCCAGCTGCTCCTTGGTTTTAACTCCCCAGTGACAGGGCTACCAGTGTGTTGCCAGGAGTCTGGTAGAGCCCTAGGCAGCTGGAGTGCTCTCCAGAAGTTTCATAAGAAGGTGTCACATTTCATCACATAGGGCAGGCTTCTAAGCTGCTTCCTTTTTCTTTTTTTTTTAATTTCTACTTATTAGAAATCTGATAGTGTTAATTAAAATCTGTTCCTTGTTTTAGAAAGACTTCCTTGAACAGTTAATATTGCATTATCAGTCATGAAATAATGTGAGAAACTACTCTGCAAACGTTAGTCTGCTTCTGGAAGAACTCCATGCCTCAGATCTTAACGCAGGCTTGGATTTAAACTTGCAATGATGAAGACATGCCTCCACTTTATATTAGGCTTTCAATTTTTGTCACTCTCTAAATTGATTTGCATTTTCTTCTTTTTTAAATTAAGGGAACATATATTTGTAGCCTGTATGATTCAGAGGTATAGGGTCACACCTCTTCAGATGGATGTCACCACAGCCCATCCACCACCAAGACACCCATTTTCCTCCACCATAGACCACCCCCCCCCACTTTGCACTCTATCCTCCTCCTCCCACATGGTAGCCTCAGTTTTACAGTCGGATTTCTAGGTTTGTCTTTGGTTTGGTTTGGTCTGCCCCTTTGTCTAGTTTTTCTACATTCCATGTATTGGTGAAGCTACCTGTCATTTCTTAAGCTGTTTTCGGTGACTACTCTCAACTCCCAGATCTACTCTCTTTGCTTTATTTCCTTCTCGATCTCCTACTCTACCTTAGGCAGCTCTCCTTTCTGCAGTACGGGGAAGAAACATTTACCACCTGAAAATATCACTCTTTGTCATAAGGATTCTTTTAGGCTGGTGGTTTTTGGGAAACAGCAGATATAGGGGGGACTCTGAAAGCTGGGTGGAAGTTGCTTTTTTCTTAAAGACATTTCCACACATAAAGGAAAATCTCCATTTGTAAGGGTGTCTCAGGATGTAGCATAAAAGGGGAGATGAACAAATCTCTTTACCTCTTATCAATGAAAAGGCAGGGAAAAGGGCACCTGCCTTCCTGGAGATGTGTTTGTAACAAATGGTCATTGTCAAAACGTACAAATGAGTTAACCTACAGATTGTGGACTGTGCTTCCAGGTTGTAAATTCCTAAAGGGAAGAGACCATGTTTTTCTAAATTTTATGTCTCTTGCAGGCAGTAAGCATAGTTAGGAAACCATTGGTCTCTGAAACCTGAAAGATTTGGATTTGAGCCTGATTGTTAACAATCTATCAGTGTTATTACAGGGCAACCCCAACTTGAAATGGGTTGTTGACCTGACTGTATTCACCCATGCACTTAAAAGTGACTTGTAATGAGACTCAACTGCAGGTACACACAAAAGGGGTAATAAGAAAATAAAGCTAGTTTATTTACTAAAAGGGGAAATGAAGAAATGAGTAACTCAGGGAGAAAGATAGATAAATTGGTGAATGAGTCCTACCAGTTCCGCTGAGCTGGAACGCCAACAGTAAGCTGGAAGCCAGCAAAAAAATCCAAGCTCCCCCAAGGCCCACATGTCTGATATAGATCAAGCCTCACTGCTTAACTCCACCCTAAGTTCCCAGCAATCCTCCCTTCAGTGGAGATGACAAATATGGAATTTGTAGTCCTTGGTCTCTTGCATCTCTTTGGTCCAGGGTGGGGGTGGAGTTCATAAAAGCTGTTTGTGTAATTTGTTCAGAACCTCTTTCCCCCCAGCAGTGTGTCTGACCTTTGGCAAATTACTTAACTTTCTAATGCTTCAGCTTTCTAATTGTAAAATGGGAGTGAATGATAAAACATATTAAAGGTAAAATTTAAGTTCTGAGGAGATGTATAACCAAGTTAATATCTTATCCAGAGCAAACAACTTTTTTTTTTTTTTTTAAAGATTTATTTATTTATTTATACAAGCACTGGGTACAGTCAGAAGCGCGGGAGGGTGAGAGAATTCACCAGAGCCAGAGCGGGGAGCAGAGCAGGCAGAAGGACCGAAGTACACTGCTGAGGGGAGCAGCGGGCGGCAGGAGAGGTCTGCACGCCATGTGGGACCCTCCTCCGGTGGCAGGGGAGCAGCCGGGGATCGAACCGGTGCTGCAGAGGCTGCAGGCAGCTTCCCAACCCAGCGCTCAACCGCTGCACCGTGGGGAGGCCCGCAAAAAACTTTATTTAATAGATGAAAGCTTGATTATACATACAATTGATTTCCAGAGATTTCTCTTCCATTAAGTCTAGCCCCTAGCAAAGAGGGCAAACCCAACTAGAACAATATAGACTTTAACCAAAGGTGGGAATGGATTATGAGAAAATGGAAACCCCAGAGAAATCTTCTGTCGTGCTTCCTGTTTGGGGTTCTGGAAAATAGACTATAAGTCATTGTGTGTTCAGGCAGAGAAGATGCAGAGATAGCACACACAATGCTTTCTTTGCAGTCCTGTTGTGTGATAGGTTTCTGGGATTTCCCATTTTCTGACAGTGGTGGCACAGAAGCCATCTGAGAGTGGAAATTCATCCACGCTCCCCAGGATCGTTATGGGCAAAATATGAGCTAATCTGTGAGTACACAATATGGAGTGGGTCCACCAGGGGCCTGATAAAAGACATAACTGGCACTCAGAGAATTGTTGAGGACAATAAAAGCCCAGCGGAGCAAATCCAATCCAAAGGGTGAAACTGGGTTGTCACCTGGTCTTGACCATGCCAAAGGACAAAGGACAAACTCTGGTACAGTTACTTCTAAATACACAAGAAAGAGGTCAAAGCCTGCAGAGGAAACAAATTACATTTCCACCAAGCTAGAGAAGGTGGCCAAAACCAGTTATTTGATTTAGGTTTCCTGCCCTTCACCCTTTCCCTAAGACTTTGTAAGCCTTCTTGCGTCCAGATTTGGAGAGGGGAGCAGAGGATATCTTTTGAAGGAGACAAGCATTCCTGATAGGATCTGAATTTCAAATTGACAAAATAATTCACCTGAACTTGGGTTATATAGTAAGTAGGAAAAGACTAAGATACAATTAGTGAGCTGCTTTGTGTTGTTTCCCCCTCACTGCCACCACCATCATTGGAAAAAGGTGTTTGAAGGGAAGACTGGTCCTATTCTAGAAAATTATGCTTTTGTATATCTGAGTTGTAGTGAGTCAATGTGGAGTAGGCTTCATGTAATTCATTTAAAAATATATTCCTTTTTAATCTTAGCCTCATCCTAATTAATAACATTCATGGAATTGGGGGTTTGATAAGAGAGTAATTTTTTTCAGGTATTCACTACCATTACAATTAAAATGTTTCAGAACCATCTAAAATCTTCTTGTGCAGTGATAGTAAAACATATACAAAATTTTAGAAACTACTACACTAGTTCACATAAAATTCTGAAAGCTGCTACTTTATAATTTAAGGTAAATAATACACTTACAATCAGACATGTCAAGTAGTTGAAAAAACCTGGGGGAAGTTATGAAGGCTTCTTTTACAATGAGATCGTATGGTAGAAACTATGATGTTTTCAACAAATACAATTCCTTTTCTGTTCTTCCTGTGCTAGCCTCCATTTCCCAGCTTCCTTGCAACGACCCAGAGCCAAGTGGCTGAGAAGTCTACTATGCAAGTAGGTGTATGTACTGCACAAATCTATACATTCCATCTGAGGGATCTGGAGGAGGTTAAAAACGAATCCTACATTTAATATTATAAATATTTAAAATTATAAACCAAGGGAACAGATTGTTCACTAAATTATGCTCTATTCTCCTATCTTGAAATATACTTTCATAAATAAAAAAATTCACCTTCACAATAATAAAATCAAGAAATATTTGTAAAACTAATTATTTCTGTGACTAGAAGTCAGCAAACATCAAACACAATTGTGTTTAATTATTATGGTACATATCAAGTCCAGCAATGTTTCAATGAGGAATAAAGACATTAACAAAATGTTAATAAATTATCATGAATTTATTGTGTCCTTATTTTAGCAAAATAACTAATTACAGATTTGAACTAAGATTTTCACAAAAATTTCTGTTCTATTGATAGTAATGTCTAAATAGAATGCTGTCTTTGAGTAATAATAGTTCTTAGAGAGTTTTTATTAATTTCAATTTGGAGAACTTTTGCCCTGCAGAGGCAATAGAAACTGGAATGGTCAGTGTATTTTATTCCTTAAAGTAGTACTTACGTTCAGAAATAAATCATACATTTATATATCAACATTAAATACTCAAATAGTTTTAAGTGATAAATGACCACAATTGCAGAAAAAAACATTTTCATTTCATCATATGACTCACCATCATTTATCTTGTGATTTTTCACTCTTTAAGTTATATTAGGATCAACATGCTAATGTAATTAGGATCAATCACACTTGACACCTATTGTATCCACATATACAAATACACAAATTAAGATTAAAACAAAATGTTTCATATGTTCTCAGCTGCCAAATGCCACTATTGCAAGTATCACACTAATCCTATACATCGCCAAGATTACAAATTCAAACAAGAAAAGAAAAAAAAAAGGCCCACTCTATACTATTGGGAGCAACATCTTGTTATCAAAGAATGTGTCACATTCATGGTGTGGGCAGAGGGAAGAACTGGCATGTTAATTAGTTTGTCTTTATAGAGTACAAAGTTTAATCCTCCCTGTACTTTGAAATAGTATTTGTCTGCTAAATCAACACTGACACATCACAAATCTTCTCAGCATCCCGGGTTGTTTTACAACCAAGGGCAAAAGTGTGGGGCCTGAAATGGAGTTAGTCATGAGAGCAGATGTTTTGGCACTGAAGATGTATCCATTAACAGTGAGGTTTAGATGCTGAGTGGCAGACACCGACACTTTCAAATTTGTTATTCTTAAGATGAAAGATAACTGGAGGACCTCCCTGGTGGCGCAGGCGGTTGAGAGCCACACTGTGAAGCTGTCCGCAGCCTCTGCAGCACGGATTCGATCCCACCAGCCGGCGAGAATCCAACATGGTGCGGCAGACTTCTCCTGTCTAGCCTGCTGCTCCCCTCAGCAGTGTATTTCATCAGTCAGCCTGTTCTGGTCCCAGCTCTGTCTCTGGTGAATCCTCTCACCCTCCCGCGCATCTGGCCTGTACCCCCGCTCTTGTATGAAAATAAATAAATTAAAAAAAAAAAAAGATAACTGGAAATGTTCATGATGTGATGGTGGGGACATGATCTCACAGAAAATTTTCAAATACAGAAAACTTTTTTTTCATCTGGAAATACATCAAATATTAAGTGATTATCTGCACAGTGGGATAGAAGTGTTATTTATTCCCCCACCCCAATTATCTAAAAACAGTATACTTTTATAATAGAAAAAGTAACATGCTAAAATAATGAGAGAAGAGTCTGTTTCATGCTGCTTGAAATATATACTGTTTTTGTAAGAACATTTCTATTAACCCTCTCTTTTTTTTGGCAGTTTTTAAAAGCTTCATGTAAAATTTTTAACACCCCAACTAAGTAAAATTAGTTAATTGATAACTCTTTTAGAGAGGAAACATTTAACTATTCAAAATAAACCTGTTGTAATTCATTGACTGATCTCAGTAAACAAGTTAGCAAACTTAATAGAACCATTTTAGGAAAACTAAAGATCATTATATTGACATAAATATCTATATCTTTCTCTCATATTGGACTGTAAACTAGTGGCGCCCTCTAGAGTTTACGATGGTTGTGCAGTGTGCCTTCTGTGACCTAAACTTTTCAGAACTTTCGTTTCAGAGAGTGGTAGCCTCTCCCACTTCAACAACAGCCTCTAAAATGTTAACCGCAGGGCATCCCTGGTGGGGCACGAGTTACGTCTGAGCACTATGAAGCTATCTGCAGCACCAATTCGATCCCTGGCTATGGAGCTAACCCACATGGTGCAGCAGACCTCTCCTGTTTCATCCGCTGCTCCCCTCAGCAGTGTGTCTCAGTAGATCCACCTATTCTGCTCCCTACTCTGTCTCTGGTGAATGCTTTCGCCCTCCCCCCCCACCCCACACACAATTCTGACCCACACCCCAGCTCTTGTATGCATAAATAAATAAAATAAATCTTTTTTAAAAAAAGTTAGCTGTATTACCTAAGAGCTTTTTAGGAATTCAAAGCTCAAGACCCACAACACGGTGGAATACAGAGGTTCTGCTCCACTGCTCCACTAAATACAACTATAGAATATTGAATTTTGCTCACAGAAAATTTCATGTGAGGGAATTGCCCCCAGGGAGGCAGCCCTACTAGTTATCCAAACAAGCTGGGCAGAGGATGTGGGTGCATGGATCGTGTTAGGCAATTTTTTTCAGCGAGGGGAGAATCCCTATCTACGTACACACAGGCTCTGGGACTGTTTAAATCAGTTGCAGAAAATTTGGCAGTTGGCAGCTCAGGCAGTGGAGCCCCTCTCCCCTACATCCTGGGAGATCTGAGAGACGTGCTGCATAGTCTAGAGGGGTGGCAAGGAGGCAGGACCCCAGAATTTGGGTGTTGCCATGAAAAAACAGTGTGTGCTCTGGAAAGCAAGGAAAGAAAAAACAGTAAATGTCTGCCTGGACTAACCCTCCTGCCCCACCAAGACTGAAACTGAGTCTTTGTACTCCAGTATGCCCTCCCTCCCTCAGGTGCCCCAAGTTAAATAAAGAAGATAAACAAAGAAAATTAAAGCCATAGTACCCTAACTGGAAAAAGCAAGTAAGGCAGCACACATATCTAGGAAACAAGATGCATAATATGAACACAGGATGGAAAAGCTGAAAGACTCGAAGAAAGGACACAGAATTCGAAGACCTAACAAAGATTTTAGAATACAGTGTTTTGATAAAGGCCAGTCTCAATGCCATGAGGTGATAGCATGTGGTTTTAGTTTGTATTTCTCTTACAATAAGTGACAAGCATTTTTTTCATGTGCCTGTAGGCCTTGTAGATGTCTTTGGAGATGTGTCCTTTGTTTTTGTTGTTGTTTGTTTAGGTTCTTTGTTTTTTGTTGTTGAATTGTATGAGTTGTCTATATATTTTGAAAATTAATCCCTTGTTGGACATGTGATACACAAGTATCTTCTTCTAGTCTGCAGGTTACCTTTTTGTTTTTGTGGTTTCCTTAATGGTACAAAAGCTTTATAGTTTGATGTCCTATTTGTTTATCTTTGCTTTTGTTACCTTGCTGTTGGAGTTGCATCCTCAAACTCCTTTCTTTCTTTTTTTTTTTTTTTAAAGATTTATTTGTTTATACAAGAACCAGGGTACAAGCCAGATGCGCAGGAGGATGAGAGGATTCACCAGAGACAGAGCAGGGAACAGAATAGGCAGACTGACGAAATACACTGCTGAGGGGAGCAGCGGGTGAGACAGGAGAGGTCTGCTTCGCCATGTGGGAGTCTCACCGGCCGGCCAGGATCCAACCCACGCTGCAGAGGCTGTGGACAGCTTCACAGTGGGGCACTCAACCACCTGCGCCGCCAGAGGCCCCCTCAAGCGCATTTCTGTTGTCGATGTCCAGGACTGTATCTCCTGTGTTTTAAGTATCTTATGGTTTCTGGTCTTATATCCAAGTCTTTAATTCATTTTGAATTAATTATTGTGTATGGAATTCAGATGTAGGTTGTTTTTTTTTTCCCTGTGTGGCTGAGTTTCCCAACATTTGTTAAAGAGGATTACCTTTCACCATCATAAGGTCATGGCTCCCTTGTCAGATTATCCACATTTATGTGGATTTATTTCTGGGGTCTCCTTCTGTTCCATTGGTCTGTTTCTGGTTTTATTCCAATACTGTTTTGATTACTATCACTGTGTACTACAGTTTGAAGTCAGTATGACAACTCCATCTTTCTTTTTTCTCAGGATTGTATTGGCTATTCAGGGTCTTCCATGGTTCCATACAAATTTTATAATTGTCCCATTTCCTTGAAGAATTTTCAAGATTTTGATCGGCATTACATTGAATTTGTAAGTTGCTTTAGATAATATGGCCATTTTAAACAATGTTCTGGCCACTGTCAAAACAAGTAGAAACAAATGTTGGTGAGGATGTGAAGAAAAGGGAATACTCCTCCACTGCTGGTGGGAATGTAATTTGGAACATTCTCTATAGGAAACAGGATGGAGATTGCTCAAAGAATTAAAAATGTAAATACCATATAGTCCAGTAATACCACTTCTAGGTATTTCCCCAAATATAAAACATTAATAATAAAAGACATTCACACCCCTATGTTCACAGCAGCATTATTCACAATAGTCAAGACATGGAACCAACACAAATGCCCATCGACAGACGACTGAATGAATAAATTGTGGCATATACTCAATAATTTCTATCAGCTATTAAAAAACATGAAATAGTGGGCCTCCCCTGGTGGGGCAGGGGTTGATCACTGGGCTGCGAAGCTGCCCGCAGTCTCTGCAGTGCCTGTTCGATCCCCGGCCACGGGTGAGGGTCCCACATGGCGCGACAGACCTCTCCTGCCATGCCCACTGCTCCCCTCAGCGGTGTATTTCATCACTCTGCCTGTTCTGTTTCCCGCTCTGGCTCTAGTGAATTCTCTCATCCTCCCATGCTTCTGACTATACCCAGTGCTTGTATAAATAAATAAATAAATAAATCTTAAAAAAAAAAAAACATGAAATAGTGTCTTCTAGGACAAAATAGATCATTCTTGAGGTGATTATGCTAAATGAAATCAGAGTTACTAAATGGTTTCACTCATTTGCAGAATATAAATGAACAAAGAAAATTCATTCTTAGACTCTGTGAAAATACATACTGAATAGCAGAGGATGGGGGGAGTGGGTATAGAACAAAGGTTAGGTGGAGGGTGAGGCATGTGCACCTATGGAGGTGAAAAGTTGTACTCCCAAAATTATAGCTATGCAAATGTGGCAAATCAATAAAAATTGAAGCAAAAAATGTAGTGCTCAGGACCCACTTCTGACCTATTGAACAGAATTTGCATTTTAAAAAGACCCCCAAGTACACTGAGAAATACTGCTCCAGGCTACAAAGGGATTTCTTTTGCATTTATGACACAAGAAGCTTGGTTTTTAAAGTTGCTTCTCCAGTTGTAACCTAATGTTTTTCTACATTGCTTTTTCTACATTGCTTTTACCATTCCCCTACTTCCATCTTGCCCTTTGCACATTTTCTGTCTCCACATCACAAGTAAAAGTTGTGTGGGAAATGAGAGTCAAATTCTATATAAAATTCATGCTTCCATGCTGAACCCTTCTCACACAGAAGAAAGGATTTAACAGCTCTAATGACAGGTTCCAGACATGCCAACACTTCTTAAGTTCTTAAATGTAGAAGATACTCAAAATCTGTCTGCTGTGACATTTACAGGGCATGTTACTACTGTACTTTTTCTTAAAAACATGCCAGAATTTTTATATCAAACTGATTTTTACCCTTTTCAATGGAGTTACCTTGAGACAGAGAATAAATGTAATTTCCTTTGTTCAAAACCCTTCTATCATTTTTCTTCCAGTCATCAGCTGAGTTAAGCTAAAACAGTAGAAGAAATTCTTTGCCCTACTATTATTCCCCAGCCATATCTAAAGATGAACAAAAATTATTCCTACCTTAATCACTAATTTTGTCATTCAGAACCATCTAATAACTATTTGAGTTTAAAAAAATCAAACTCACACAACACACTTTAAGAAACCTACTTTAATTCCAAAAGAGATCAATCCAGAATGAATGCTATAATTTTCTATTTCTCTTGTGCAGTAAAGCAAACAGTGAAACAACTTTCTAAAGTATTCTGACTTAGATGTTTATGAATATCTAAGTTTCTTTATTTGCACATGTACTTATATAATAATATCCCCTATTTAAGAGTTCTTAAGAGGATCCAAACTTTCTTGAAACTACTATTTTCTGGTTCTGAATAGTAAAGACCACACCTGAGCTTGTAATGGCCTCCCATCTTAAATCCAAGTTAATCACAGTGTCCTCTGGAGGAAAAAATCCATACATTATTAATGACCTGATTCCATTAAAAAAGTGAGTTTCAGCAAATATGAAAAAAAAAAATCCTGTTATTAATTCATGGTATGAGGGGGGAAAAAAGGGAAATACATTCTTCCACAGAAAAAGCAGGTTTATAAAGAAGAGTTCTAATAGCACATCACATGGCAAAGCATCGAAAAGTCTGAGAAGCAGTTCCCTTGCCCAAAGGGGGAAATGATTTTAATAAGCTCTTCTTAACTGCTCAGTAACCCCAGGTGATTTTTAAATTGGGAGGCAGATTACTAGAAATGAATTCATCAAATTTTGATCTATCCTGAACAGGTACACTATAGAAATCAAGAACATCGCTGACCCTGCACATCTGGTGAAGCCTGGAGTTAGGCACTGCATGGCCCAAGTCATTAGCTAAACATGCCAAGAAATTGAACTTCAGGTGAACATCTTCCAGAGAGACATCCTGCCAAGTGCCAGAAACAGATGAACCAAAAATTTCCTTGACATGTGATTCCAAACGACTCTGGAGATCTTCAGGTGGGATGTATGTTCGGCTTCGTAAGGGTGGACACACCAGGCTAGGTTCTTTCTTCACCTCTTCAACTTCTACTACCTCAGTCACCACTGGCTTTTCCTCTTTTCTGGAATGACCAAAAACAAATATATAAATAAATCTTTGGTTCAAAGAATTAATAAAACTGACAAACTGAAACACCAGACTCACCAAAATCAACAAATAATTTGCATACCTACAAATTAAGTGTGGCATTGTGGAGAGAAGATAGGTCTCTGCTCTTAGAATATTTACATTTCAACTGAGCTGGCACAGACATAAAACAAAAGCTAATTACAGATTTTAATATTCTAAGAATGCCCAAGAATGAGTAAAGAAGGCAAATCTTTCTGTCCGGGATTCCCAGTCCTCCAAAAGATCCAAACTCAATGCACATCTCTAATCTACCACTAATCTGTACATACTCCATGTACTGCCTAAACTGCACCCTGTTTCAACCATTTTCCTGACAAGTTATAACCTGTATGAAATGCCCATTTGTCATCTCCACCCATATAAATCTTAGTTATCCTTTAAGTTCTGGAACAAAAACATTGTCTTGCGCGAAACTTTACTTAATTTCCCCAATCAGTATAGCTGTAAGATCCTCTGATGTCCTATTGCACTTTTATTGCTCTCAGAGCACACTGTAGCCTACCTGACTTCTAACTTTATATACAAACTACTTCTCTTATTAGAGGAAGGTTTCTCAGCCCAAACATTACTGACATTTTGGACCAGATAATTCCTTGCTGTGAAGCTGTCCTGTTCATTGTAAGACGCTTACCAACACCTCTGACCCGTACCCACGAAATGTCAGTAGCATTCTTGTTCTTCAGGCATGACAATCAAGACATTCAAATGTCTCCTGGTGGACAAAATTGCCCCTGGTTAAAAACCACTGTACCAGATTATAAACTCCTGAATACAAAGACACAGTTTTTTGTTTTTTTTTTAAGATTTATTTATTTATACAAGCACTGGGTACAGTCAGAAGCGTGGGAGGGTGAGAGAATTCACCAGAGCCAGAGCGGGGAGCAGAGCAGGCAGAAGGACCGAAGCACACTGTTGAGGGGAGCAGCAGGCGGCAGGAGAGGTCTGCGCGCCATTTGGGACCCTCCTCCGGTGGCCAGGGAGCAGACGGGGATCGAACCGGCGCTGCAGAGGCCGCGGGCAGCTTTGCAACCCAGCGCTCAACCGCTGCACCACCGGGGAGGCCCCAAAGACACGTTTTATTGACTTTGGGGTTCTTTGAAAACTGCTCGATTAACAGCAATTTGCAGATGTGAGAGAATCTGCCTGACTCACTATTTCAGTGCTTAATGAAAGATTTGTACATGAATTGACTCCTATTTTCCAAGAAGTTAGCATCTGATTGGGGTCAATCACCCCTACAGGAATTAGAGGTACTAGAAATGAATGATGTCTGGCCAACATATGGTTTGTAATGCTACCCTCATTGCCTACTCAAAGTCTCTTCCAGCAATTAATTCTGTTTTCTGCATCAATTCTTATCAATTTCTCCCTATCTATTAGAGATTACTAGAGTATTCTCAGAGCACACAATATGCTGTATTATCTCCCATTTTCAAGAAAAAAATTCCTCTAATATTCCAGATTCGCCTTCAGCTAACTTTACAACAAAATTTTTCAAAAAGTGTCTAGTGTCTGCTTCCTCACCTTCCATTTTCTCCTCAAACTTCTCACATCTCACCAGAATGAAATGTAATCCATTCCTGCCATCTCAGGAATCCCTTCAATTGCTCTAGTTGTCTTCAAAATTTGCCACTTTCTGAAATTATATTTTACATTTGTTCATTTTTTCCTCCGCCAAAGCATATACTCTATGAGGACAAAGATTTTGCATATTTTAATAAAACAGTTGTATCCCTAACACCTAGACAATGGACATGTAGATACTATAAATATTTACTGGATTAGTGAATGAAACAAACTTGAAAACAATCAGAGATAATAACAAATACTAATCAAAAAAGAGAGGAAGATAATAAACATGTGAGCTGATGAAAAAAAAAAAATCCTTCTGGGCTGAAGGAATTTTTCTTTTAAAATCTAAGAAGGCAGGGCCTCCCTGGTGGCCCAAGTGGCTAAGCACGGCACTATGAAGCTATCAGCAGCCTCAGCAGCATGAGTTTGATCCCCAGCAAGCCAGAGAGAAACCCACATGGCCAGCAGACCTCTCCTGTCTGGCCCACTGCTCCCCTCAGTAGTATATTTTATTCTGCCTGTTCTGTTCCCAGCTCTGTCTCTGATTAATCCTCTCACCCTCCCCCCCCAATATCTGGCCTGTACCTCAGCTCTTGTATGCATAAATGAATAAATCTTAAAAAAAAAAAAAAATCTGAGAAGGCAGATAGCAATCCCTGAGATTGTCAAAATGTTGATGCCCTAACAGAGTCAAACAGGCTTACCTTTTAAGCAAGTGGAACCAAGAGACCTGGGTTCTAGATCCATCTCTGCCATTCATTTGTTTTGTCACTTTTAGCAAAATACTTTCTATCAGTGTGGCCTCAGTTTCCTCATGTCAGCTCTATTCTCTTAGAGAAACGCGGGGTCAGAGCAGACTTTTAATAACCATCTATTGATTGAATCAATGAATGAACAAACGGACAAAATGAGAAGGCTGGACTTCATCACTGATTCTTGCTAATTAAGAAATATAAGCCCGCAAATAAGTTAATTGAGCAGCTGCACGTTCTTGCCTTAAATTGTTCGATCCGGACGAGCCATTTGTTGCGTGACACAGAGCCCTCGATACCTGAAACGCATGATCAGCGCTGTTTGCATTTTAGAAAATTAATGAAAGAGACAGGTAAGGTGACAATGACATCTTGCTTTGCCAGATGAACAAACAGCGGCCAGAAGAAGACTCGCGGGCCCACCAGGCGCGGGGCGCGGCTGCGGAACTCAGAAACCCACCGCACCTGCCCGTCCCTGGCCAGGTGAGGCCAGGCCCAGGGCCCCGTCTCAAGAGCATGACACGTCTGAACTCGTCCCTTCATCCTCCTCAGCTCCTTTCACTTTCCGTGAACGTGACCCTCCGTCCAACCATTCGCTTTACCTGAATCGAGACCAAATTCCTCTGCGTGGAGCCCTTAAGAAAGCGCACGTGAAACACCTTCTGGTAACTCCGATCACTGAGAGCGCCGCCATCTCCAAGGAGAGTTCCAGACCAGAGCCCCGCCCACAGCCGGCAGTGACGCGCCAGGCCAGCCAATCGAGTACAAGTTTAGAGGCAGGCGTTCGCGTTTTCCTGTTCGGACGCACCAGAGGCGCCCTCGCCCTTTGCACGCCGGGAAATGTAGTCCAGTAGTCTTTGCCAGTGGAGGCCGGACCGGCGCTTTGCCTCGGAGCATGACGGGAGTTGTAGTCGGGGGGCGTCCCGGGAAGGTTCCGGGTGACGCCTTCTGGTCCGGGGGCGGGCGGTCATAGCTGTACTTGGCTGAAAGGAGGAGAAATTGGTAACCGGGAAGGGGCTGTAGCGAGGCCTGGATGGCTGCGCAGTCAGGCAGGAGCGAGGGTTCGAGTTGTGGGGCGGCCAAGGGGAGAGTCTGATATGCTGCTGGGGTCGTGACCGCTTAGGGACCGAGGCAGGACCTAGCCAGATCCAGCCTGGAGGCCTCGCCTTCGTCGGGCCTAATTTCCAGCGGCCGGTAGGCCTCGCCAGAAGCAGCTCTCCGTGCGCTCCCCGGTGTTCCTGCCCTGATTTTGAAGCTGGGAGATGGCTTCCCCGAGCCCCACGCCGGAGCCAAAGGTAAGTCACCCCCCCGGGGCATCCGGTTCTCTCGCCTCTACCCCAACTAGGCCGCGCCATCGGCGCCCCACCTCCTGCACCGGGGTCTTTAGGGCCAGCGCGGTGCAAGGAAATACCCCCTCCTATGGGCTGTGGGTGGAGACGAAACCGTTCGCTGCTTCCTTCCCCCTCCCTCCCCTCAAGAGTGACTTAATAAATCAGAGAAAGAAAATATGCTCTGAACTGTCGCTCTCATTTTTTAGTTTTTCCAAGTGAGGCACCATTTTTCACTCTCCCCTGTGTCGAGTGTTAGGATGCCTGGACCCAAGGTAGATATTTAGAAAACTTCGTGGAACTGACCTGGGTCACAAGCCATTGCAAATGGAGAGCTGGAGCCTGACAGTGAGATGAAGGAAGCTTGGGGAGAGGCCTTGGGGGCACCTTTTTAAAATTAAAATATTAGTCCATGACTATTAAATCATAACAACCTTGCCCTAAGGGCCCCCTCACTATCGAGGACAAAGATTCAGCTCCAGCTCTGTTTTCCTCTTCTTTGAGGTGCCAGTCTGTTACAGTCGGCTCCCAGAATTGGGCCCCATTTGGAACTCTTAGTTATCATGTTCCTCCTGGCCTCTGGGACCCAGATAAGTGGTTGTTTCTGCTACTCTCAGTGGTAGAATTGTCCTTGAGACAACAAGAACTGACCACAGAAATCATACTATTTCAGGGGTTGCTGACATTTGAGGATGTGGCTGTGTTTTTTACCCAGGAGGAGTGGGATTATCTGGATCCAACTCAGAGAAGCCTGTATAAAGATGTCATGATGGAGAATTATGGAAACCTGGTCTCACTGGGTAAGAATCTGCTGTTTCTCTGATTAAAATATCTAAGAGCCTGTTAGAAATCAGTCTGTGAGAACACTTGGACCAGCACCAGTGCCAAAGGTGCTTTGTTCCAAATTTCCATTTCAACCCTTTAGCCATTAATTGTTTCCATACTGTTATCCCTAGAGTCCTTGTAGTGACCAAAATACAAGCTTTTCTTGCCTCTTATCTTCATAATCTCATTCCCATATTGCTTTGTACTTTCCCTCCTGGCTCATCTTCCCACTACTTTACTCCCACCCTTTTCACTCTGCCTTCTGGAGCCCCTGTTCCTCTTCACATAATGTTCCTTACCCCTCCTGGCCTTCACTGAAACCTGGCACTTTCCCAAGGACACTTCTCTGGCAGGCACTGCTTATTCTCCCACATCCTCTTCCTTCCTATCCTTTGTCTTAAGACTGGGAAGGGAGGAGTTACTGATCTCCCAGCTTTTCAGTGCTGTTCCCAAAGCGTTCGTTTTCCTTTAAACAAAATCCATCTCCTTTGAAGCTCCGAAGTTTTGCTCTACCCACCCAATTTCTTTTCACTGTCAATTTTTTTTTTCATCAGGCCAAGCAGGGGTAACGAAAACAGACATCATCTCTGCCCATATGGCGCTTCTTACCTTTCTACCTCTCCTGCTCCTTATCTCTCCTTCCCTAAGAATGAAACCCATTCATTATTAATGATATTTCCTATTCTTTGATTCCTCAATTTTTTTTTTTTACCAATCTTATCAATCTCCTCCTGACTTCACCTCCTCATCTAATCTATAGACCTATATAGAAGTTATCACTGGCATGCTCTTTTGCCACCTTGTCATTATCCTGGACCCCTTCTTCAGTTTCTTATCTTGTGTTGCTTGTATAATTTGTTTTTTTCTTCCACCTGAGTTGCTAAACACAGTAGGAGAAATTATTTAAGCAGAAGGACTGATACTTAGTACATGTGTACAACTTTCCTTGTGTTTTCCATCCGGTTTTTACACCTCAGCAAATTATTTTATCCTTAACTTACTCAGTCCTTTGTTCGTTAAAAGACTGTTGCAAAACTTCAAAGAGTTCTCTTGAATCCAGTACTCAACTATGGACCTTAACCTGTTCCACACAGTAGAAGCCAGTAAACATGAATTTTCAATTTTTCTACCCTTATCAGTGCCAAGACATCTTCTATCTTCTCAGTTCTCCTAAGAACTTAGCTATCAGTCATTTCTTCCTCCCCCACCCCCAATTTGTAGCTTCAGTCTATTCCTTCTCCCCTAGTACCTGTCTTCTGATAAGTATGGTCATAACTTTATCAACAGGAGGAGGATAAAGAGAAAACTCTTAAGCCACAGTCTCCCTCTTGCCACTCAATGGAACCTACTACTTACTCTCCTCGCAGCCAGGTTTATTTTTAAGAGTAGTTAATATGTATTCTATACTGCCTTACCGCTCATTATTTCTCAGCTCTTTTTCTTGCCACTACTTCCCTGAAAGTATTTAACATTAGTATATAAATACAGTTGTCAAATGCAATGACCTAATTGTCAAACTCAATAGACTATTTCTGGATCTTATTTTATTCTACCTCTATAGATATTTCAAATTCTTTGTTGTTTCCTTTCATTGCGTTGCATTCTTAGATTTCCTCTCGGTCTTTATAATTTCCTTGGCAGACCTTATATGTATGCAGGTCACCAGCTGTGATGTTAAGTCCCAAATTTTTACCTCCACCTAAGAGAAGCAATATGGCATCTCACTGCTTAAGTGAAAATCCTGGTCGGACCTTGTGACCATGTGTGAATTACCTAACCTCTTTGTGCCTTAGTTTCTCTTTTCATAAAGTAGAAATAATAGCAGCCACCTCTTAATAAATAAGCACTCAGGACACTGACTAGTGTACAGTAAATGCATTGTGAATGTTGATTGCTTTTATCATTGTCTTTTCTCTTGAGCTCCAGATTCATAGTACTCTCCTTTTGAAAACCACATAAATAACTCTACAACTTGCAAATCCATTAATACCTGAAGGAACTCCTCTTCAGAAGTAAGCACTCCTTTCTCTGTGCTACCTTGAATATACTTTCATTGTTGAATTTATCACACTGTGCAATAATTATTCTTTATGTGATTCCTCTCACTAGATTGATCTCCACGAGTATTTTATTCATTTGATTTCTCTAGCACTTAGCACAAAGCCAGGCATTTATTGTATACTTCTTAAGCATTTTAATTATTTTAACACTCAATACCTCTGGCTTAATTATTGCATTAACCCATAAGCTAGTCTCCCTTTCTTTTAATACGTTCTCTTTTCTGCCACCAAAGTGATTTTGTATTAGCTAAATGCTTACAACCGCTAATGATTGCTGATAGCTTAAAAGATAAAAATCTTCATTTCTTACCCAATATACTGGGACCTATCCCAATATAGCTCCTGCCTAGTTTTCTAGCCTCTTCTGTTATTTCCTGCACACCACTTCATTCTCCAGTCCTACCAGCTGCTGATTTTTTTTTTCAATATGCCATTTTTTTTACTGCCAGCTTTATCTACACATATGGTATCCTAGTTGATAGAACCAGACAAACGCCCGGCCTTGCCTGTCCCTCCTGCAAAATGTGAGTACCATATGGACAAAGGCGTGGCAGTGAGCCCATTGCAATTTCCTATTTTTAGGTTCTCTTTTATTTTAGCTGAAATGCAGTTTTTAATCATTTATTGTGTCTTCCTTCACTGTCTTTTCATCCTCCTCTTTAGACTTTGTCCATTCCCTTGATGAAGACTTTTTAAATGAGAGCAGTTTTACTCAGCTGTTCCAGTGTACTGCTTCCTCTACTTCATCTTCTCGCTTTACTTAGCAACTGTTTTCTAGCTTTGTAATTGCAGTTCTTCATTTATACCTTTCTTTTCCATGCTGGCTTAAAAAAAAAACTAATAACTACGTTGATGGTACAGCTGACTGCTTGATTTCTCAGTTCTTGATCTTCCAGTTCTTTACATTGAAATCAACTTCTTCCCTGTTAATGGCTTCTCGCCAGTCTACTTGAGCCATATTGGACCTTGACAGAATTAGGAATTGCTTTATCTGCAAAACCTTAAATTCATTTTTTCTCTTCTTTTATTAGCGTCCCACTTAAAAAGTTGTTCAGGTACTCATTAAATAAATAGTTACCGAGCACTGTGCTAGCCCTGCAAATTCAAGTTCTTTCATTTTCTGTTATTTGCCAAGAAAACTGTTCTTTTTATATTCTGTTGGGTGGTGGGTTGGCAGCTATGGTCCACTGATCAAATCTATGCCACTGCTTGTTTTGTAAATAAAGTTTTATTGGAACATGCACATGTCCAATCCTTTTTGTTATATGTGACTACTTTCACACTACAGTGGCAGCGTTGAGTGGTCGCAGCAGAGACTATATGGCTCACAAAGCCAAAAATATTTACTATTTGGTCCTTTACAGAAAAAGTTTGCTAACTCCTGTTCTGTCCCAAACTTCAGTCATTCTCTCTTGCCTTCTCTTTCCTCTTTCCTCTTGCCTTCTCTTCTCCTCTTTCCTTACGGATCAATTCAAGCTAGCTTAAGCCAACAAGAAAAGTTATTACAGGGAATAGATGGCTTATGGAATATAAGTGCAGGATTTTAACTGGACATCAGAAAAGGACTAAGATAGACAGTTGATTCAAAGTGCATCTCTCCCAGGAATTTGGAACTAAAACTGAAAGAATTCTATACTTGTGTTCTGTTTCTTTCTCGCTGACTAGTCTTTCTACCTATGTCCATGCCCCTCTGTCTTTTCAGTTTCTGAAAGTCTAGTCATAAGTCTAGTCAGTTTCAGCTTTTCTCTGCTTAAGTCTCTTCCTTACCTCCCAAGTTGCCCCTCTTGGACAGTTTCCATTTCAGTTCCACATTTTTGGGAGAGATGCACTTTGAGTCAATTGTCTGGTCTAGACAAATAAGCTATGGTCACGGGATGGGAACTTGTAATACAAGCATTGCAGATACTCCAGAAGGTGACTATAGCACTACCAAGGCAATGGAATGGATGGCCGGTCATATATGGGCTGCTTTGTGGGGAAACCTAAACTCCTTGTTCATTTCATGTCTAATAAAGCAAGTTCACTTTTATTCTTTTTCAGTATATACTTGTTCCTTCATTCTTCTGGTTGAAATTAATATTCATTGGGGCCTTTTAATTGTTTGATAGTTTTTATTGGAATGCAGTTAGGTTTATAGATTGTTTTTGGGGGTACAATAAAGACTCATATTGACTCTTGCAATTTGGTTGACTCTATTAACTCTTTTTATGTCCTTCAGACAATTTTATGATTGTCTCAGAACCTTGCACATTTCTTGTTAGGTTTATTCCTAGGCTTTATGGTTTTTGTTATAATTGTGAAGAGCATTTTTTTCTACAAGTATTTTTGTAATATTGACTACTTATTCCTGGTAGTAAGAAACAGTATTTATTTTAATTATTAGTCTTGTTATTATATTTTAATTCTTTTAGGAATTTTAGATAGACATTCATATCATCAGCAAATAATGATGATAATTATTTCTTATTCCTTTGAGTAAGATCCCTGGAACAGTATTCGTTGGGTTAGTATTAAAAGGAGACATTATCTTTTCCCAATGAATTTACAATCCAATGGAAGGAACAAACACATTTTAAGATGCAGTATAATAATAGCTATAATGGAGTTATGGATAAGGCTAGTCATATAAAAATTCTGTCTAGTGAACTTAGTGAAGGCTTTGCAGAGGAACTATTGCTTTCAATTGAATCTTAAAGAGAAAGCCCGTTCATGAGATTAAACCATTTGGGGAACATTTAGTAAACAGGCTATGCAAAGAAATGGCATGGACGCAACAACACAAGCAGTTTACCCACTTGAAGTGGAAAGCGGGGTAATTTGAGCTTTGGGAACTATGCCATGAAGTGCTGACTATCATAGTGTAAAGAGCTTTGATTTGATCTTAAAGGTGGTGAACTGTTGATGAATCTACAGGTAGTGACTTGAATAGAATCCATTTTATGATGATCTCTCTGGATTCAATGAAATCAATGTAGAGGGGACAGCTGAAAGAACAGCCACAGATTATTAAATAGTAAGCTTTAAATAATAAGCTTTTGCAATAATCCATGGAACATGGTTGTCATAGTAAAAAGAGAGATGCTAAAAAGAAAAAGCATTGGTTTTGGTGATTGAAAGAAAACAAAAATCTGGGATGATTTCCTGCTTTGAGACTTCAGGGGAAATGTAAAGAGAAGATAATAGAGTTGGAGATAGACACGAGAATTGATGACAGTCATGTTAATTGTGAGCTCTTTTTGAGACATCTAAGTGGAGCTATTCAAAGAGTCTATTTAGAGAAGGTAAGGATATAAACATGGGTAACAGTAACATTTAAGAGTTGACAGGTAGGGCCTCCCAGGTGGCGCAGCGGTTGAGCGCTGGGTTGCGAAGCTGCCCGCGGCTGCAGCGCCGGTTCGATCCCAGACTGCTCCCCGGCCACCAGAGGAGGGTCCCACATGGCGCGCAGACCTCTCCTGCCGCCCGCTGCTCCCCTCAGCAGTGTACTTTGGTCCTTCTGCCTGCTCTGCTCCCCGCTCTGACTCTGGTGAATTCTCTCACCCTCCCGCACTTCTGACTGTACCCAGTGCATGTATAAACAAAACAAACAAACAAACTAAATAAATAAAAAACATGTCTCTATAAAAAAAAAAAAAAAAGAGTTGACAGGTAGAGTAATAAATGTGAAGAATGTATTAGAAAAGGCCAAAGAAGTAATAGGGGAAGAACTAGAAGAATATAATAGAATAAAAATTAAAAAGTGTCAAGAAATAAGAGTGTCAAATGCTCCTGTGTAAAATAGGGCTGAAAAAGTCCATTGTGTCCATTGTATTTGTTATGTGGAAGTCATTGGTGATTTATTAAGTTTCTCTAGATACAGAAACAAAAACTAGATTTTGTATTAAGTTGTAGAAGACATTGAATGGGAAATGGTTGGTCCTGAAATGTTAAGGTTTGTTTTTTTTTTTTTTTTCTTTCCTCCCCCGCCCCAAATCTATACTTTCATCAGAAGAAGGGTTTCAGGTTCAAATAAAGTTGGGCATATTTGTATGCTTGTAGGGAAAGTGTCAATGGAAAATACAGAAAGAGGGAAAAATGGCAATAGTTGAACAAGTAATGAGAGGTGATTGAGATAAAAATGGGGTAGATAGATTAACCTCAGATGGAAATGGTATATTTCTTAATATACCGTTACAAACAATTTTATAGGTAAGGGGCAGAAAGTTAAAGAAGTTCTCTCATCCTTTTTCATTGCATGAAACAATACAATTAGTTTGAAAGTGAATTTGGGAGATTACAATAAGGATCCTAAATAGAAATAAAGTGTCTAGTAATTTCTTAGGGGAATAAGAGAAGGTTTTCTGGAATAAAACAATTTATGAGCAGTTTGAAGTTAGTGAAAAGAAAATTGAAAGATGTTTCCACACTTAGAAAACTGGAAAATTGAGAGGAAAAAGGGAATCTGAAAAAGGAAATTGTTTAGGGCCAAATATAAATTTGGTAGTGTTGAATCTTCTAATGAAGTTACCCAACAGGCAGCAAGAAAAGAAAATCAGGAAAGAGGTCAGAGACAGATTTCTAAGTGTCCTGTATGCCACTCTGTTACTACAGAGACCATTGTCTTTCCTCTAGCAGATGCAAGATTTTCATTTCTCAAATGTCATACAGACTCTCAGAACTAGTTTATTCCAACTGGGATTTTGTATCATCACAAGAGTTAGAATCATGTATACTTGAAGAGTGTGATATAATTTGTGATGGGTGAAGTCATAAGCTTTCCCAGGCTTCTCTTTTTCTTTGTTTCTTCTATTAGTTGTGACCATGTTCCTTTATATTCTTTTTCCTCTGTCTTGCTATATCAGACTCCATGTCACTTCAACTCATTATATTCTTTCACCATTTATACTTTCCCTCTATTCCATTTGGCAGGGGGCTTCTGTCTTATCTCTGAATCCTAGTTCATACTACTTTGCCTGGAATATTTTTGATTGCAATTAAAAAATCCTTAATAATGAACAATCTGATGCTTCCCCTGGTTTTTGCCTTTTGACTTTCGTAGCATCATTTTATGTCTTCCTTTCTGTCAGTTATTTGATTTATTAACATTTCTGTGATGCAGTGTCATCCTGAATTTTCTGGAACCTAGCATTTTCTTCCCCTGTTAGCCTTTCTTCAATGATAGACTTGTTTATCCCACCACTGCTTGTTCTATTTCCATTTATTTGCCCATCTTACCTTGCATAATTTATTGTTGATTTACAACAATAAATGCCCCTATTGATAGTTCTTTGCCTAGTAAATAGTCCTTTCATACCTCTTCTCCAAGGAAAACATTTCATTACATCATTTAAGTAATACTAAATAATAGTATTTATATATCTTGTACTGTTTTTTGGGGGGCAGTGTTGTAAAGTCTTCATAAAAATGAACTAATTTAATCCTTACAACAATACTGTGGATAATACACTACACTTTATAGCTGTAATGTATCTTAATTATCTTATTTTTCTGACAGTTTCTCCTTGCTAGCCAAGAATTTGGCTAATGTTTCTATTTTTTATTTTAGATGTTTTGAACAGAGATAAAGATGAGGAACCAACTGTGAAACAAGAAATCGAGGAAATTGAGGAAGAAGTGGAACCACAGGGTGTAATAGTTACAAGAATTAAAAGTGAAATTGACCAGGATCCCATGGGTAGAGAAACCTTTGAACTTGTTGGTAGGTTAGATAAACAGAGAGGAATCTTCTTATGGGAAATACCAAGGGAATCTTTGACTCAGGAACAGAGAACATTTAGAGGAAACACTAACATCCGTAAAAGACCAAACTCAGAAGAGAAATGCCATAAATGTGAAGAGTGTGGAAAGGGTTTTGTCCGTAAGGCCCATTTTATTCAACATCAAAGGGTTCATACTGGTGAGAAGCCTTTTCAGTGCAATGAATGTGGGAAAAGTTTTAGCCGCAGTTCATTTGTTATTGAACATCAGAGAATTCACACTGGGGAAAGGCCCTATGAATGTAATTACTGTGGGAAAACCTTTAGTGTGAGTTCAACCCTTATTAGACATCAGAGAATCCACACTGGAGAGAGACCCTATCAGTGTAATCAGTGCAAACAGAGCTTCAGCCAGAGAAGGAGCCTTGTTAAGCATCAAAGGATTCACACAGGTGAGAAACCCCACAAATGTAGTGACTGTGGGAAGGCCTTCAGCTGGAAGTCACACCTTATTGAGCATCAGAGAACTCACACTGGTGAGAAACCTTATCATTGTACCAAGTGTAAGAAAAGCTTTAGTCGAAATTCATTACTTGTTGAACATCAGAGAATTCACACTGGGGAAAGACCCCATAAATGTGGTGAATGTGGGAAAGCCTTTAGATTAAGTACATACCTTATACAACACCAGAAAATCCACACTGGTGAGAAGCCTTTTCTTTGTATCGAATGTGGAAAGAGCTTTAGTCGGAGCTCATTTCTTATTGAACATCAAAGAATTCATACAGGAGAGAGACCTTATCAGTGCAAAGAGTGTGGGAAAAGCTTCAGTCAACTTTGTAACCTTACTCGTCATCAAAGAATTCACACAGGCGACAAACCCCATAAATGTGAGGAATGTGGAAAAGCCTTTAGTAGAAGCTCAGGTCTTATTCAGCATCAGAGAATTCACACCCGAGAGAAGACTTACTCATACAATGAAACTAAGGAAAGTTTTGATCCAAGTTGCAGTCTTGTTATACAGCAGGAAGTCTACCCTAAGGAAAAATCTTACAAATGTGATGAATGTGGGAAAACTTTTAGTGTCAGTGCACATCTTGTACAACATCAAAGAATACACACTGGTGAAAAACCCTACTTATGTACTGTATGTGGAAAGAGCTTCAGTCGGAGCTCATTTCTTATTGAACACCAGAGAATCCACACTGGTGAGAGACCCTATCTGTGCAGACAGTGTGGCAAAAGCTTTAGTCAACTTTGCAATCTTATTCGACATCAGGGTGTTCACACAGGTAATAAGCCACATAAATGTGATGAATGTGGCAAGGCCTTTAGCCGGAACTCGGGCCTTATTCAGCATCAGAGAATACACACAGGAGAGAAACCTTACAAGTGTGAGAAGTGCGACAAAAGTTTTAGTCAACAGCGAAGCCTTGTCAACCATCAGAAGATCCACACGGAGGTGAAAAATCAAGAAACTCATGAATGTGATGCCTGTGGCGAAGCCTTTAATTGCCGCTTATCTCTTATTCAGCATCAAAAATTGCATACTACATGGATGCAGTAAATGTAAGAGAAATATTTAAGTTCAGTTTGACTTGAGACTAGCTACCCAAGTGCAGTTTCAATATGGCTCAACCTGAGTCTGACTTAGATATTTGCTGGTAAAGCAGATTTCCCTTGGCTTCACCCAAATGGTTTCTAAAGATTCTGTGAATAATGGGCAAATGCCTATGGGCATTTGAAGACTTACATTATTCTTTGTTTTGATGACAAGGACTGAGTGAGTTATGTAAGCATCTTTTTTTAACAAATCTTTGCAGAGAGGTTAAACCCATGGTCAGAGCACTTAGTTAAAAGGAAGACAAAGTTGCATTGGTACGAGAGAGCTGGAACCAGCTAATACTAGAAAACTAGAATTATTCAAGGAACCTTTGCCATCATCAATATGGTAGTCCTTTCAGTTCTGTGATATGTTTGGCCATGCATGTCAACGTTCAGTAAGAAAAACAGCCCAAATGGTTTTTTGGTGGTTTTTGTTTTGGTTTTTATATATAACTGGTATTGAAAGTTTTTGTCATTGTTTCAGAAAGCCAGTTGTTTGGCATGTGAGTTAAAGGCAGTTCTAATGCCTTGTCCCCAGATATGTGAGATGAATGGACCATTAATTTTACATGTAAAAATTATGTGAATAATTAAAATACCTAGCAAAGGTGTTACCAAGGAACCTTTTGGGAGTGCCTTTTTTTTTTTTTTTCCAGGATGGGCACCAAAAAATGGGGAAAGACATTTCTCTTTATGCCCTTCAATCTGTGAAAGATATTTGTAGTCCTATACAAATAACCATATTCCTGCACTACCAGTAGCATGTGAAAGTGTACATATTTTGATTACCAAGAATTGGAAATAAAAAGACCTGGAGTCTATGTTAGGAAGCAGAAATATTTTGATATTGCTTTGGTTTTTATGGTAACTAGACTTTGCATGCAATTAAGAAACCTATTTCCCAGTTCTAGGGCTTCCCTTAGTTAATGGTTATAAACTTACTGATTCATCTGTTTTAATCATTAAACTATTATTTTTTTTTGTGTAAGAGTTCTTTGTTATTTTCGTGTAAACTCTATCCTGTCATTCATGTTACTGAATTTATAAGCTAGAACCACATTTAAAGGATATAGCTCTCATTCTACCTGTGACTAGTAACTTTTGGGGGAATGTTCCATTAAGGTTAAGTCCAAGTTCTTTAACTTCTGAATATAGAATTTCAAGTGATCAGACTCTTAATTTGAACTTTCTGACAGTTTGAGGAAATAACTTACCTTCTTCCTATGCACTACACATTCTAAAATTCACCTCCAAACTTTCCATTTTCCCATCTCTGAAAAACACATATGCAAATTACGTGTGGATATTACAGACACCAATTTTGTGCACTCCTTTAAATAATAGTTAACTTTTCAAAACAGTTTGTAGCTTAATGAAGTTTAGAACAACAAATTGTATGTGATTCTTCAATAAAACTATCCTGCCCTGAATCTCCCCCGTTTCTTCTATGCCAGTGGTATAGGGTCTCAGCTTGCAATGAGATTCTTAGACCTGTTCTTAGTATTTTAAAGAACCTAGCTCAAAGTGTTTTTGCTGTATGCACACTAGAACACATTTCTTTGCTTTTTGCTGGAGTTAGGTCTTTTTCTTATGGATAGCTTAGCAGAAACTGACTTGATGTAATTTAGAGTGATGGCCATGAGATATTCCTGCTAAAATTATAATTTTTTACATCTTTTTATGTTAATCTGGAGGAAAACTCACACTAGTGCTTGACCATAGATGCAATACCTTGCTTATGAAAAACAATCCAACAGGTGAATTTTCAAAAGCAACTTCTCTGCAGTTGTCACTGCTGTTTACTAAGAAAATGATAAAAGTATGCAAAGAGCTCTAGGGAGGGATATGAAGTTCATCAAAGAGGAGAGAACAAGAAAGTTTAATCTTCAAAGAGAGACAATGCTTAAGATGGTACCCAGGAAGGTCTGAAGTTGGAGAGTTGAGAAGAGCTGGTAGCTGCAGAGTGAACTGATTGCTTGGTGACGGGAATGCGGTAGGAAGGTTGGCTCCCCGTAAACAAGTGTAGGTCAAAAGAGCAGTTGTCCTGCTAAACAGAGGACTATTTAAATTCTGTGGTAATGTTTTCCTTGTATTTAAGAAGGGGTGTGTGAGAGAGACAGTGAAATGGACAGTGTACAGTGTTGAATGTTCACAAAACACTGATGCACCCAGCTTAAGAAATATTACGGATGCACACACTAAATACAACACATACCTTGTGCCTCCACTTCAACTTGAGGAAATGTGGAGGTGGACAGGAGGGGAAAGATTGTTCCTTTTTCTTAGATCTGTGCCCCTAAGTATTGTTTCAAAGACTTGTGGTTCCCTTGTAAAATCTCAAGAAACTCTTAGAGTAGCACAGTGGAAAAGTGACAGCATCTTCAGGTAAGACAAGGGGCGGTGAGAAAAGGAGATGGGTTTGAAGAAATAGCATAAAAGTGGGCTGTGAGTTAGATGTGGAAAGTGAGCAGGGTGAAGATTCAAAATTTGGGTTTGGGCAGTTGATACTTTTATTCACTGAGATAGTTGGGGGGTGGAAAGTGCAGCTAGTGTGGAGAAAGGCTGCTTCTAAAGATTTTTGCACATGAACTGGCCTGAGACAGTAGAGAGGTCCCCAAGTTAACGGAGATGTGGCTATGCTGCACAGGAAATAAAACTGGCATTTTACCCATTTTATCTTCTCTGTCCCTTTCATGGTGATTGGTGGGGGTGAGTTACTGGTTGCTTTTAAATTAAAGCCATGTCTAGACCTACTGAGTGGACAATTGGAAAAAGGACAGATACATTTACTGTACAAATAGGACAAGTTGAACTAAATTATTTTAAAAATAACTGCTGGGTGCTATGTTAATACTCTATTAGTTACATAGTTGCAGCAAGCAAGTCTTTCCCCTAAGGAAACTTTGGGAAGTAGATAGTAAGTCGTATGTATTACAGAGAAAAAAGACCAGAGAAAAATCATCTAATTTTCCCAAACACAGTTTTGATAAGCATTTTGCATAAAGAGAGAAAGCATAGTAGTTAACTTTGTGATTTTTCCTACCTAGGAGCATTGTTCTCAAAAATAATATCTCATGTTAGTCCAGTGGCTAAGGTAGAAATCCACATCATATGATAGCCATTGCGTCCCTGAATTGAGAACGGCACACTGACTTTGGCCTATAATTTTTCCCAAGGCAAAATCAGGGCAGGAAGGGAAATGTTGGAAGGGGTTGCAGAAAGAGGCCTTGATTTGGAATTGCTAGCAGGACATGATAGAATTCTCTGACATTTGCAAACTTGGGCATCAGCCTTGTCCCAGTTGTTCTGAACTATCAGAAGAATTAGCGTTGTGTTTAGAAACTGTGCCACCACATTTAAAGAACTGGGTTTGTGTGTATAGAGAAGCTTTTTTTGAGACGTGGATGTGGAAGAATTTTGAATTTCCATTTGTCCCAGTACTACCATCTTGCAATAAAAGAGAAATTTTATTGGGGTAGTAAGTGGCTATGCTACATGAAGAGAGCTTTTTGTTGATTTCCTCTATTTAAAAATAGCTACTCACCCACCTACACCAACAAGAGAACTGGCCCCATGTCAGGTGCTATTATACACACTTAGCTGGCTTTTCATTCTTCTACATTCTGAAAAGGAATTCCCAGCAGTACTCTTTTCCCATGCTCATTACTTCAAGGTGTGACTTTCCATAATATCCCTGCCCAGATTCCCCTTCTCCACTGCGCCACTCACCTTGGCCTCACCATTCTCATCTAATTTCCCTCAATTTCTTCAACATCTATTATCTGTGCTCTAGTTGGGAAACAGACAATTCATCATTCCCACCTGAGTGCCTTCATCATTATTTAAGAGCAAAATGTCAGGGAAATAAACTTGTGTTTATCAATGACTTATGTATATGGCACTGTCCCGAAAATATTAATAACCTCACAACAATGCTGAAACTGAGACTTGGAGAAACCAAGTATGTTTCCCAAGATCACATAACAAGCAATAAAATCGCCTGTAACTCATCTCACTGCCTGTAAAGCATACCTTCCCTTTTGATCTCAGCACCACTGTGATTTAGCTCATTATTACGGGCCATTTTATTTCCTAACTGAATTCTTGTCTTCCTCATCTCAATGGTAAGCGCACAAGGATCATACAGTCCAGTTACCAGCTGACAGTAGGTGCTGAAGGAACGCTTACTAGCTGTTTTCATGTATGTTTAGTAGGTCAATGCCCAATATTGAGTATTAGAGATCATTTCAGGGGCTTGGAGCAAATGGTTACAGCTAGAAAGCCATGTGCACAGTATTAGAGCGATGGAATAGGACCTATGTGGGGTTGCATAGAGCACTGCTATTACTCCTGTCTTAATTCATTCTCTCTAGAAAAGGCTTAGGGGATTGGTGGCATCACCTGAGTCCTCTGTGGTCACAACTCCCACTCAGTGGCATTTGTATTTCCTGCTTAGTTACTAAAGCTTCATTGTCTGGCATGTAAAAGACATACCTACCCTCAAACTGAAACTTCTGTTAGTTACTTTCAGTGCCTACAAGTACAAGGCTTTATTTTTGGCAGGTGTTCAATAACTGCAAAATAAATCTGTGTAACAAATGCTAGGAAGTCACTAATATATTCATTCAGTGATAATACAGCTAATGGAAATTGAAGGCTGTAGCCTCATAACACTTGTCTTCATAATGCTTCAAGTGGAGAAAATTATTAGGGTTGAAATTCCAGTGCTTTTAGTTGGGAAATATATCAGATGATAGCCAGGGAAAATTCTTAATACAAACCCTTACCCACCGAAATAAATAATTCAGCCTTGAGCAAAAGATAAGTAACTGAGCCTTGGTTTTAAATTCGTACTTAACTCACAAATGAGTATCTAAGAGGCTTCTGTACAAGATAGGGTCAGTGATGCTTAATAAGTTCTAGATAAACATTTTCTGGCAGAAGAGCTTTGTCACACCACGTTACCAGCCTTTAGAACAGTTTGGCCATGGTAGAAGCTCAAATCCTTGCTGGCTGGTTGAATGAAAGCAATTAAGAAATGCAGAAGAGGGCCTCCGGTGGCGCAGCGGTTGAGTGCTGGGCTGCGAAGCTGCGCGCAGCCTCTGCAGCGCCGGTTCGATCCCCAGCTGCTCCCCGGCCACCAGAGGAGGGTCCCACATGGCCCGCAGACCTCTCCTGCCGCCCGCTGCTCCCCTCAGCAGTGTGCTTCGGTCCTTCTGCCTGCTCTGCTTCCTGCTCTGGCTCTGGTGGATTCTCTCACCCTCCCGCGCTTCTGACTATACCCAGTGCTTGTATAAATAAATAAATAAATCTTTAAAAAAGAAAAAAAGAAATGCAGAAGATCTACAGCCAGGAGGTAGAGCTATTGAGCACTGCCTGTTATTCTGCTCTTACCTTCCTCTCTGGCCGTCTGTTTATTATAAAAGAAGATACCTGATTCCAATCCTTCGACTCTACCCTAAACCTCTAAATGTATAACTGTCAAGAATTTTGCTTGGTTTTATAACCTGTAAATGAAAGTGTTGGGTTAAATGTCCTACATGACAGCTTTAAATTGCTTGTATGAATATAATTGTGTCTAGAAAAGTAACACAGATATATGGAAATAAATATTCAAATGTCATAGAGGCACATGATAAGAAAAATTTTGCTTCCTTCCAACCCACTCTCAGGTCTTTCTTCTCAGAAGAAGCCTCTTTGTACTAATTCTCTTATTCCTCTAAATAATACGCTCATGCTGCTATTATGTAACTTATCTGCTGTAAACGATATCCTGTCTTGGAGCTCTTCAAGGCAAATAACTTAGTTTATTTTCTTCTATAGTTTAATTATAGATACACATATTATAATAATTTATATCCATTTCCTTTATTACTTCTATAGACTAAAGCATTTCTTAATCCATTAATTTTATGTAGGATTCTGACTGCCTGCTGAGTGTGTTAGTGCTCCCTTTGCTTTCCTCCATTTCACCTCCTCCTCGAATTTCCCAGCTTCAGTCGTTTAAATTATTACTTTTTTCTGCCATTGACTTTATTACTTTTACATAGTTCAAAATTAGAAGGTTTAAATTCTCTTTTGTAACTATGGTTGTCCTTAGTGCATTTTTATACATTAATTCTGAAAATTAAAAGCCAATGAAGTATAATTATATAAAGAGTATCTACCACAAAACTAGCACATGTGCTTGGAAATTCAGAGGAAGATGTGTCTCTAAACCTTGAAGATACTCAGGCTGCTTGAAGAGAAGAGCAAGCTCCAAGCAGTGAAGCCACATTGACTTTCTTAATACACTCCAAGTAACGCTTGAAGCCATTTTGCATTTTAGCTTGTTTCCTACTGTGGCTGGCTTTCAAGTTCTCAAACTTGAAATCTAGATGCGTAGTTCTCTAACTTACTTGACTGCACATGGAAATCATCAAGGGAGATTTAAAGGACCCTGATATATAGAGGACCTCACAACTACAGTTTCTCCTCATATTGGGCTGGAGTGTGACTGAGCATCTGGGTGCTTTTTGTTTTTTGTTTTTCTTTTTGGCAGGTGTTTCCAATGAGTAGCCAAAGTTGAGGACCCTGACCATTAATAACAGTCATGCCAAACAGATTCAAAGAAAATGAAATAGGGCCTCCCCGGTGGCACAGCTGTTGAGCACTGGGTTGCGAAGCTGCCTGCCACCTCTGCAGCGCCAGTTCGATCCCCAGCTGCTCCCCGGCCACCGGAGGAGGGTCCCACATGGCGTGCAGACCTTTTCTGCCGCCCACTGCTCCCCTCAGCGGTGTACTTCGGTCCTTCTGCCTGCTCTGCTCCCCACTCTGGCTCTGGTGAATTCTCTCACTCTCCCGCGTTTCTGACTGTACCCAGTGCTTGTATAAATAAATAAATAAATCTTTAAAAAAAAAAAAAAAAGAAAATGAAATAGACTGAGCCCTCTCAAAGTAAAAGCATAAAAGTACCACCCAATACCAACCAAAGGGTCTTAGAATCTTTTATTTCTTTTTTGATGCCAGTTGCCTCTCTCTTAACCTACTGCTGCTAAACTGGTTTATGGTGAAGATGCACTTCTCTGCACTCAGCTTCCAAGGTGTTTCATTCAGTGGTTATACTTTGGTGGAGAGACAATTTTGTTATAAAGTCTATTATTTTCTGTGGATACCCTGAGGCATGGGGAGCTGGAAGTGTTGCAAGGAAATCATTGTGTGGAATTTCATCAGATCCTTGATATTCAGACTGTTGTTTCAATAACAGATTTTTTCCCTTGTATCTAAGAATTTAACATTGTATTTCCAGTAGTTATATATACTACTTTATCTATATACAAAATTATGTATATAATTTTGTCTGATTCTCAGGGTCAGTCAAAAGGTTGTTCCCTTTTAGCCCTCCTATTAGGCACCTAGAAGAGCTGGAGCCAGGCTGGTCATCCTTGGGTTCTAGTAGGTATAGGAGGCCTGGAAGAGTGACTGGGTGGAGGCAGAACCAGAAGAGGCTGAGTGAATGTATTGTCCTTTGGCTGCCTGGCTGTTAGCCTAAAAAACATGTAGAGAAGACTGTTAGAGCAAATGCAACCTTGTACTCCCCCCTCTCTGCTTCTCATTTGAAACCAGATAAACCTTCACTTGAATTTTTTTCCCCTTATAGTGATTTTGCTGAATTTTGCTGCTGATGCAAAATTCATATAATATGGTATCTCCTTTAATATGCCAGTTTTCTGAGCACTTCTCAAGGAAGCCTGAGATTTGGTTCAGTTGTTGAGAAAGTTTCTTTTGCCTACCAAAAATATACAACTATGGCACTCTAAACTAAAGTTGAGAAACTACTTATTTATGTAGTGATAAGGGAATAGAGGTGTGAGTCATAATAATAAGGAAGCTTGGAAAAGCTGTTGAATTTTCTCTTAGGAAATTGATCAGATGATTATGGCCAAGTATAGGGTGAGGGGCAGCTAAAATTATACTATAGAGGAAAAAGAGCATATTTATAAAAATTTTAAAATTCTGTATTTGTCCACAAGAATGTGTGATTTTTACATAGTTATTATCATAATATCCTTAGAATAAATTCAGAATTATGAAACCTGTGATAATATTTCAATGTCACTCAGCAGTAACACCTCTTCAGATCACTTTTGCTATCATCTCCTCTCTCCAGGGCTGGTTTCTACATCCACAGTGATTTTCAAAATGGGTTTCATGATCTTAAGCAGTTCTTAGAAATAGAAGTTCTCTAACTTGACCCCAGATCTACAAATTGGAAACTCAGTGTCTATGTTCCTTTCAAATAATCTGGATGCAAGCTCAAGCTTGAGGACCACCTCCCTAGATGATAAACTCAACTTCATTTTTTTTATGCACATGGCACTTCTGATCCTTACTCCTACAATTCCTCATCATATCATCTGCATCTCCCCACCTCATCAGCCACACACCAGCCTAGACACACCCAGTTCTCCATCATCTCAAGATAAAGCACCATTTCTAAAATCTCACACCCCTCTTATGCCCTCGGATGCTTCCTTAGCTTCTCTGGGAACTTCCTTTCCTTTAGTGCCTCATCATTAATCTTCTGGCTATACTTGATTCCTTGCCAAGGCTCCTCTTTGATCAGCAAAATGAATGAGGTTATCCCTCAAATTTGTCACTCTTCCATCTCACAATTAACCTTTTAGTTGTCTACCCTATTTCCTCTTTAGGCTTATCTGAATCTTCTTCCTGCACATGTAGAACTGTTAGGGAAGTGTGGTGACTAAGTTAATGTGTCACAAATTCATTCTCCGCTGAGAGTGCCTAATGTTTGGCCATAAGGTCTGGTCAGTTCCTAGGAGGCAATTCAACAGCTACTCCAAGCTTCCCCACTGTTAATATTGAAATCTCCATCCCCTGATCACTCTCAACAGATGTTCTCAGCTGTACCAACTGCTAAGTCTCTTCATCTCTATAGACAATTCCAAACCCATTCTCTTCTCTGCAGTCTCTTTTCTTCCTTGCTAAGACCTATATTTAATATCTAGTCTCCTGCAATACTGTTTCCTCTAAGTGCTTTTCCGCTCAATTATTCCCACCCTTTAATCTCTCCTCTAACTTCTTTTGCTTTCCATTCAATGATGCCAAGTTCTAATCTATTTGACTAACCTCTAAATTCTTTGAAGGCAATAGCTGTGTTTGCTAAAACACCGTGATCTTGGCTCAAAATAGGTATTTAAAAAGGAATGATTACTAATTGTATTAAACTCTCTCTTGCCCTGGTAATCCCGCTGGCTGTTTTCCTAAAAATTTCTTGAATGGGCACCTTTCTTCTTTATTGAAATTGTTTTGTTGAGGATCACTGATATGCTCCTAAACATTGATCTCAGTGCCTTTTCTCAGCCTTTATTTTGAATCTCTCTGTAGTGTGTTATTGACCCCTTGACACTTGTTTTTGTTTGCTCCTAGAATCCTTGTCATTTTATTATTTCTTGTCCCAAAATGAAAGGTAACCCCAGTTCAGTCCTTAACCCTCTTATCTTCCTTCCAAGGTGTCTCTGTTGAATTGTCCTTCAATCTTCTGTCATCGACTATACTTCCAGTATGACTATTCAACACTATCTCTATCCCCAACCTTTCTATTGAGCTCTAATGCCACATTTTCAAATGCCCAGTATGTACTACCTGAAGATAACTTATGGCTTGAAGAAAGCAACACTTCTCTGTGTGAGAGAGACAGGCCTTAAGTTTTTACTTGATCAGATGGAGAAGAGGTAGCACATCTTACCAGGGCCCGCTTCATAAAAGCGTCCTGTGTTGCCTTCTTGTTTGCAGCCTTGCCACCCCAGGCAGCCAGCGCACTGGCCTGCAGGGCCCGTCCATAAGAGAAACTTAGTTTCCAGGGTCTTGGCAGAGGGCAAAGGTTGATAGCATTGAGGTTGAGGGTAGCATCCTCTTCACTCATGCCACCAGACAAAAAGCAGATGCCTAGAAGGAGAGAAACCATTCCATTCTACTAGTCCCAGCTCAGGCACCTTGCTCGGGAAAGCAAGCAATGGTTCATAGAGAAAAGCCATGTCTCAGTCTTATCTCTGCTTGATTTGTATGAGATTGTGTAAGAGAAACTACTTTGTGTTTGCTGAGGCTAGTTGAACTAAGGAGATAAACGTGCTTTCCTAAATAAGGAAGGCAATGAAATATTGAGGAAATCAACGGACTGTATGTATTTGGACAGACTCAGGTGACAGGGGATCGTGGCATGTAGGGGAAGTGCTGGCTGCCTGAGACAGCATAAGCCCATTTCATGAGTAGAAACAGACCCTGGACATGCACAAAAGCCTATGGAACTCCTTCAAAGGATAAAGGCTAAGACCTGAAGTTAGAGGGAAAAGAGAGTCTTACCAGGAACAGCTGCAGGAACAGTACGGTGGAGAGCTGTGACCGTGGCCATTGCCACTTGCTCTGGAGTATACTTCTTGGTGCAGGCATGGCCAGCGGTCACCATGTTGGGCTTCAGCAGGGTGCCCTCCAGGAAAACATGATGGTCATTCAGGGCCTTGTAGACAGTAGCAAGGACCTGAAGGATAAGAGGTCCAAACAGGTGTAACTGAAAGTTTAGGAGTCACCAGATGTTGGCGCTCCTACACTGTAGGGATGCAGGATGAGAGTGCCCGTGCATTGCTTAGCCACCACTTCCCAGCAAGCCCCTAGGCCTTATCGGAGCAATGCATTATAAATCTTAGCCACTGACACAGCCAAGCTGGCCTATCCCACCATCCCTACACTAACTGCTCACTGCTTGACTGTTGGCATGCTTCTGCCTCCCAGAAGCCTTCACTTCTTCCTTTCCATTATACCCTTTTGTCAATTAATGCATTGAGACTGCCCTGATTTAATTAGTTTGAACTATATAAACCAACCTCCATTCTCCATCCCTATAGAAGCTGAGTAGTCATAAGAACATACATTTTAGAGACAGAAATGCTTTTTCATCTCATTTCAGTCTTTTACAAGCGAGGCAATTGAGGTTAGGTTCCATTATGACTCTTACTTTCTTAAAGATATACTGTGGGATTTACAAAGTCAAGTATGAAAAAGCACTTTGTAATTCTATTTTCTCAGGTAAGCCTCATCTTATTTAAAACATTTTTAGTTTATACATAATGGAAGAGAGGTCCATAAAGATAATATGATTTTTTTAGCAAATTTTTATTTATTTTGGCCACCAAGAAAATCCTATTCATAGGACATAAAAACAACTGATTTGTAACAGCCAGCTATTCTCAACTGGATCTGCCATGTGGAAAAAACACAGTCCTGGACCCGCTACTCTTAACCCCATGATCTCACACAACTAACTCACCCTCTCAGCACCTTGCCGTCCACATATAAAGATAATACGATTAATCAAATGTCCCACAACTGGGAACATACATTCTCAAACTTAAGTCTTGATACTGCAAATCCTGTTGGTTTGTTTTTGTTGTTTTTTTTTTTTTCTGGGTACCAAATAAGTGGAATGTTTGGTAAGCATCTCCTTATTTTCTCAAGGCTACATAATGAGTTCAACTGAAGAATATTGCATATTTGACAGCTGTTATATACTGTGACAGCTGTTACTTAAAAGCAAGAATTTCCAAATGGAAATAGGATCTTTATAGCCAAATCTTACCTTCTCAGTTACATACTGGCAGTGTTCCAAGTCATGATCCCCATCAGGAATTACCTCTGGTTCCACAATGGGTACCAGTCCATTCTAAAAAGGGGAAAAGAGGGGACGAATTAAAGCTCTGCTCATTGGGATATTCAACAGTTGTAAATGGCATAAAATGAAGCCTTATGGAGAAATACTCCACAGAGGAGATTTAAAAGCAGTGAAAAGAAATCTCATGGGATGTCTAGTGAGAATTTTAGCTTAGCCAAATAAGAACACTAAGGTTTTAAAAAGTATTTTCCTGGCAAGGGTGTGAGAAAAAAAGCAAATTTTAATATCTGTATCTTATTCTAGAAACTATTCTAGCTCCCGCATAACCTAGCTATCTCGTTTATAGGGCAATTAAGCTTAAACCGCTAAGAAAGAGGCCTTTTGGCCTCATAACTGACTTGTGAAATCAAATCTTTCTCTATTACCATTGGCTATAGCAAAAGAGATTTTAAAAATGCTACCTGAGTATACTGGTGAATGAAGACACAGGTGTAGTTATGTCAAAATTGGAAAAAGAAGCTCTGAAGAAAGCTCTCGACTACAGTTCTCTATCCCAGGGGAAGCAGATCACCTGCTGACAGATGCTGGCGTAGCGGGCCAGGGCGTTGGCATTTTCCTGGATGGCAAGACTGGATGGGCACTGGTCTGCAATCCTCAGCACGGCACGCCACTTCCCAAAGTCAGCGCCATCTTTTTTATACTGAGCACAGCGCTCAGAAAGCCCATCAAGCCCTGCAAGTCACAGAAGAGAGGAAGACTTTCTTTATAACCTGATCCCTGACCCACGAGGCCTCTGATAAAGAAGCATTGTTCTGCCTTGGCTTAGTTTTCAGTCAGCAGAACTTGAAAACTGAAAACATCCAAGCAAATTAACCTTAATCACATCACTGAGCCAAAAGGCCTGGATTTAACAAATATTTTGGTTTGGATGAACATGTTGGGTACTCCATAAGAAGAGTAAAGGGAACTATTGATATAATTTGTTTAGTTTTCACTATGTTCCAGGCATGATTCTAGACTATTTGCACAGCTTATTTAATTAAATTATCATCGCAACCCCAGTAGTTCACATTGCACGCATTTAGAAAACATGGAAACCGAGGCTTCCTCGAGGTTAGAGACTTTTCCAAGTTTGCGTAGCTGAAGAGCAACAACTGTGATTCAAACTCTGCTTAGCCAGCCCAATACTGTGATTAATGCTTGTTTACTTGGGAGGTGAAGTACCTTGTAAAATTATCTAAATTTTGAGTGATGGTGTAACAGGGTGGTCCCCAGGAAAGGGGGAGGTTCCAGCTTCCCTGCCCCACCCAAGGAAGGGTGGAGCTGAGCAGGGAGAGAGGAAGCTGCAGAAGAGACTGAGGAAGGAAGGAAGCAGGATGGAGCCAGGAGACCTGGAGGAGGCGCATGGAGCCTAGAGACACTTGAAAAAACTGCGCTTGTCTTTTGGTCGTGGACGGGGTGACACAGATGTGGGTGAGACCCATGGGGAGGTGACAATGGCAGCTTTTATCTTGATGTTGATTTTGCTCTTTTCCTTCCGGGCTTATCCGGTTGTTTGTGACCCTTTTCTGTGGGTCCCCACTGGAAGATGCTTTAGACTTGTAGTAGGCTTTGGGGCCTTGTTCTGGGCCAATCCCATTTGGATGGACTTTTACCCACGAGGGGATGGGTAACTTTGGGTGCTTCATTTAGAAACTAGACTCTTTGCCTTACCTGTATTGTTTCCTAGTTTTATTAAAGTTCCTTCCCATTAAAGTCTCCTATGTTTTGTGTTGATGCGGCGGATGGCAGAACCCATGTAGAATAGGCAGGTTTGCGGGGTTTGGGCTGCCCCTCTCCCTGTCCTATAACAATGGAATCAAGATTTACCCCCGGGTATGCCTGATCTCAAAGTTTGGGACTTTACTTACTACTGCTGCTGGATTTGTCTTGAAAAATAACACGGGTACAGAATATCTTCTCTGTGCAAGTCACTGTGGTAGCATTTCATGTACATTGTCTGCTTTAATCCCCACAATCATTCTGCAAAGTATGTAATATCATCCCATTTCATTTGAGATTCAGAATACTAAAGTGACACCATTATTAAATAGGAATTGAAAACCACGTGTGTGGCTGTACAACAACCATTGTGACCATCGTGCTTTGTTCTCCCTTGCTCACTTCTTTCCTTGCCTTCATTCCTAGTCTCTACTGGCATGACTAATCTTATATAGATCGGATCAGTGGACAATATCCTTACCTTGAATGGTAGTTTCTTTGTTTGTTCCTGCAAGGGGAGCAGCTCCTTGATCTAACTGTGAACATTAATAATTAATAAGTAGTTAGCAAGTGTCAGGTATCCTAGTAAAACACAAGCAGAGCCCCTACTATTAGTAGTTTCTATTAGTCACAAACAGAGGAGTTGAATTAGCAGGTAGGTTAATCATTGGAGGAGATGGAGCACAGGTCAGCCCCTGGTAGAAGGGAAGCTATCTGGAAAGAACAATGGAAGAGGATGGAAAGCACAGGCCTGGGGCAAGTGCCAAAGAGCAGCTCCCCTCCCTTCATTCATTCATTTATTCAAAAGCAATGTATTGCCTATGGCACATACCAGGCATCTCATCATTTACAGGATAAAAGGGGAAACCGGATGCAGCCTCTGCTCTTAACAGAGCAGAGGCTAAGGTCAAGCGGAGCCAACTTGCTGTGGGCAAGTTCTGTCACCCTTTGAAATTCCATTTTCTCAACTCAACTCTAAAACAAGGATAAGGGGCCTCCCTGGTGGTGCAGGGATTAAAGACAGCACTATAAAGCTATCACCAGCCACTGCAGCACTGGCCGGGGAGCAACCAACATGGTGCTCTCCTGACTCACCCACTGCTTCCCTCAGCAGTGTATTTCAGTCAGTCTGCCTGTTCTTCTCCCCACTCTGTCTCTGGTGAGTCCTCTCAGCCCCCACACCTCTGGCTTATACTCCAGTTCTTGTATGCCTAAATAATCTTTAAAAATAAAATAAAATAAGGATAGTAATCAAATCTACCGTCAGAAGTTGTGAGGAGGATCAAATGAGGGCTTAGAGTTGTAAACACAGAATTAGTGTTTACTCTTGAGAAGCTGTTGTATCAGATCTAGTAAAAGCGCTGGTAATGGCTGCCATTAACTAAGGAATAATTCTGTGACGGGAATTGTTTTCAAACCTCACATCATCCTCATAAGAACCTTGTATTAATATTAGTCCCACCATAGAAATGAGGAAATTAGACACAAAGAGGTTAAATAGTATTTTGTAGAAAACTTGGAAAAAGAGGGCACTGGAAGGAAAGTCTAGAAGAGGATCTGATTCTCTGGGAGGATGATGATGGAAAGGAACGAACACAGAAATTGAGGAGTGTGTGAATACAGTGTTGGCCCTGCCCCAGCCCCCATGGTGGGAGCCTGGTCCAGGTGAGGTGGGTACAGAAGCATCACCTTGATTCCCACCACGATCCCCTTTTCCTTGAGGATGTTCCTGAACAGCTTTCCCTGGCCGTCCTTCTGGTAGAGGGTCTCATGGAAAAGGATCACACCCCCGATGCTCTGGTTCATGGAGTTGTCTGAAGTGAAGAGCATTTCTCGGAACTGCCTGCGGTTCTCCTCCGTGTTCTCCACCTTGATCCTCTGCAGGCGGTTTCCCATGGTGCCTAGGAGGGGAAGGCCCAAGTAGCTTAGAGAGCCAGCTGGGGCTCTCTGCCACCCTCCTCCATACTGTCCCTGTGACCCTCACAGGTGGACAGCAAGACAGTTGTTTAACTAGACCTCAAGCTCCTGCCATTTTTGGGGGGCGGGGGGTGGCGGTGTTGGGTCTCCCAGTGAAAGACTTTGGTTGCAGTTGGAAGTGCCAGGGTGGAAAATACTGTTGAATCCAAGTGGCTATGTAAGGCCCTGGCCCAGCCCAGTTCCTACCCTGACTGGACACACATGAGTGGAAGGAGGAGGTAGTGCAAGTTTTGACTTCTCCACTTCTGCTCTTGTGTCGCAGACTGTGCAGGCCAGCTTCAGCTCTCCCTTGCACATCCAGGGATTCTCTCAGCCACAAGCCCTGCCCTGTTCAGATGCAGAAACTTCCCTGCTTTCCTTGCCTGACACTAAACTGACTTCTCATTAGCAGCAGGGGGCTACATGTCTGACCTCATTCTGGTTCCAGAGTTCCTGGCCTTGCTAGAGCCTGGATTTAAATGAACTCTAGCAAGAGAGTTTAAAATGGAAGGCTTGAGCCTCTTCCCTTGATTTTCAGAAATCTGCCTACTGGAAGTGTAACAGAGGACCACCCTGTTACAATAGTACAGGACAAAAAATGTCTGTGCTTACTGAGCCTTCTACTCCCATTCCTGTCTACATAAGCCTTTACTTCCTCTGAGGGGAAAGAATGTGATTATCAAGTGGCTTTTGCTACATGTAGAGACAAGAATGTGCTTGCCCTGTAATGTTCCTGGCACTCACCTACAGACTCATCTGCAGCCAGGATCCCCTTCCCATTGGCAACGATGCGCTGGGCAATTTCTGAGAGCTCCTTCTTCTGTTCTGGGGTGAGGGCTGGAAATCGGTAAGCCATGGCGATAGGTCTAGAAAAAGTGTAGCAGCGGCGTGAACAGAACTGTGAGTGACTCTGATGGATGCGTGACCAAGATGACTGGGTCGTGCTGCGAAGCGCTGTAGGCCCCTTCCACACTTCTGGCTGATTTCCACAACCATGAAAACAAGTCAGGTATGTTTTATTCATCTTTAATCTTAGGATTTGCAATTGCCCATGATGGATGAAGGTGGGATGCCGAACTTCTCCTGCTTTCCAGGAGAGCTTTGGGATCACTGATCTTGAGACTGAACGAGTTAGTGACTAGCTAGAATCTGACAAATAGAGCCCAGCACAGTAAGTGACCATCTCTCTAGTATGTGGATTCCCAATGCGTCGGGTGCCCTGGACAGCTTGAGTCCAGCACAGTGAGACTTTTGACCTTTGTGATCATCCCCCATTTTGTTCTGTTAGCTTATAGTCCCACCAGATTATTGTTTACACTGCAAGATTTGGAGCAGAGCCACCATTTGGCCTTGAAGTTAATCTCCTGTCACCTTTGAGGCAAGAGAGTGGGTGGGGTACAAGACTTTTACCCTTATATTCAGTCACCTATGAGATCATTTGGGGCAGATGGGGGGTATTTTCCCTAAGTGCCTTTGGGCTGGAGGTTCCCATGGGGTCTAAGGATGCTGAAGTCATATGGCCATCACTGCTCAAGTAATTCTTAGTTTTATTTCTTTAGCAAAGAGATAATCTGGCTCAAAGATCCCCAACCCAAACAACCTCCTTCCCAATGGTCCTCTGAAGGGGGTCTTTACCCCACCAGGGGTCTACTCCTACCTTGGCATAGTCTTTGAAAATGCAAGCTCACAGGGTTCTCACTTGGATATGAGAGTGATTTTGCATAGGTTGGATTGTCAGACAAAAATATGGTTGTGAAGATTCAGCAGCTGTTTCCTCTCCAGTCCTCCTTCTTTCTCCAGTCACTTCATTCACTCGTATACACAGATGTCCCGTGCCCACCTTCTACTCCCTGGGAGCCCAAACACACCTCAATTCTCATCTGATACAATCAGTCAAGAGAGAACCAGGACTACTATTATGCTCAACAATTAATTAATTAATTAATAAGCTAAGACTCAGAGAAGTTATCTGATTTGCCCAAGGTCCCTGTTAGGATGAGGCAGTTTCCCACCCTATCTTGCCTCTCATCACAAATTGATTTCTCCACACTTTCTGATTCCCTCAAGGCAGGCTCTCAGTACCTTGTCCCTTGATGTGAGAAGCTGTTTACTGAGTTAGTTGATAAGAAGGGACAACTGACACCGCTCTCACTATTGCCATTTTTGCCTCAACATGGGTTTTTGTTTTAACCCAGAAGGATGGAGCGCCAGGGTACTATTAAAGGCTGGTAGATAAGGATCTTCAGAGAAGAACACCTTTCAAGGGCCCTTACATCCCAGCCTTCTGGAGGAACTCTTCTGCCCTGTTTATACATGATTGCTAATATTGTTTTTTCGCTGTGGGCCTGGTCTCCTGCTCCTCATGTGGATAAAAGACAATCTGAGGTTGGTGACCTTCAGACGAAAGTACAAATTTTCTCTCTCACTTTAGATATTTGCACAAATGAAATACAATGACCAAAAAATAAAGATGTCTTCTTTTAATGAACTAAAAGGAAAAAAATAGTCTAATAATAGAAAATTATCATTTATTGCCAAGCTTTCTGCTAATTGCTTTACTTACACATTATCATTTATTCCTCACAACAACCCCAATAGGAAAGTGGATTTCTTTTCTCCTTCACATATAATAAAAAGAGAAAGAATATAAGAGTGTTTGTTTGCTAATTAGACCCCAAATTGGGATAAGGGGTAGTACTCTCCTATTTCAAGTGAAGAGTGAGTCTGGTAAAAGGATCAGCCTTTGCACACCTCTAATGTCCTTGATGACACTCATGATTACCTTGGGCTGTGGGTCATTGTCCCCACACCACTGACATTTCTGATTCATAAACATCTGCACAGTGATACAGGGGTTTGCTGCTGGTAGGCCAGACTCCCCGGATTCAGCTGTGCCTCTTCTTCCCTGGGACCAGGGGCAAGTTGGTAATGTCTCTGGGTCTTAGTTTCTGGTGAATTAAATGGTGATAAATAACTGCTCTGGTTATCTCACTTCAAATGGGGCCAATGTGAGCAACAAGCTCATGGTAGTTGTGCAAAATATTTATTTGTTGAATTGTATGAGAAACATGAAAATGCTTTATAAAGCACTACGAAAATGTCAGGTATGGCTATTTCTCTCTCTCTCTTTAAAAAAAAAATTGCCTAGGAGACTTCCATGTTTTCTATTTGCTACCAACTGTTTTCTTTAGTCTGGGTGTGCTGACTCAGCCAGAAAAACAGAGAAAAGGTCAAATTGAACCAGTATGTTTATAGGAAGTTAAACTTCTACAGAGGGATTAAAGGTCTGTCCCACATCAGCACAAATGTTGCCCCTCTGTTAATCATAAAACAGGGTCACAGGCCAATGTTCATCACCAGGAGACAGGAGACAGCCAAAGTGGGTAATGATAAAGAATAATTTCTGTGCCCCCAAGCCCCTTCTCACCAAGGTCTCAAGTCAACCATTGTTTTTAAAAGTATGATGGGAAGTTGTTCACATTATATAGTCAAATGGAAAAAAAAGCAAGTGTCCTAGAAATATGCATTATAAGATATTCTTTTTTTAATTAAAATATGGTAAGTACATATGTTATCTGTGAGTCTATAAACAGAATAACCACCTGGGTTATTGCAGGGAATGGGATGAGTGCAATGACTTTCATGTCTCACTTAATGGCTATCTTATAATGTTTGGTATATTCTACATAAAATACTAACAGTGTGTATATATATATATATATATATCTGGGAAAATGTTGTAAATGTGAAATTATATGAACAGAAGATAAATACAGAAAAACAGAGTTACAGGTGACCTGGGAAATATCCAGATCCTGCCAGCTTTAGAGATAGAGACACTGCAGCCCAGAAGAAGTATGTGATGCCCCTTCTATGTTGTGATTGTCTAGGACTATTAAGTCACACCCTACAGACTAATGACTTAGAATCCTATTTCCAATCCTTCCTCAGCAAAGTAGCAGGTGGAACCCTATAGTCTAGTTCTTTCTACCTTCCTGGAAGAGGTTCTGTAAAAAGATAATAATTTGTAAAATGTGATATTTAACTTCTGGGGAAGGGCTGTAGAAGATTCCATTTGCTTCTCCCTGTGTAAGACAGATGGATTTTCAAGAAGATAAAATGAGGGGCTTATTCACTGAAAACTTGTGATCCCCAGGCACTGTGTGCAGGACTTTTATATCTCTCCATATGTATGGGTTCAATGCCAGCAGCTTCATACCACGCCAATGCCACAGTGACATGTGCAGTGAGATGCTCTAGGACAGCCTGGTCCCTGGTGCCTTTGAACAAATGTGAACCAGCTCAGAAAGAGCCCCAAGTGCTTTCCTCTAACCTGACCCTTAAGTCACAGGAATTACAGCAACTGCCCTCCCTCCCCTGCCCAGCTGCCCGGCTCTCGTCTGGGCCTGGGTGCTCCCCAGATCTGTGCTGGCTCATGTGGCATGCCATAACAGCTCAAGCCTCTGATGGATTCTAACTGGTTAATGGAGCCCTAGGAACTATTTAAAGAGAAGTTTGTTTCTAAAGGCAGTAAAACCTCACAATATGCCTATTTTTCAAATAGTAGGAGAAAGATACCAAAATACATCAACAGCTTTTGATTTTTAATACCTTAAGCTTTGAGTCATGAAAGTGTTTGGTGCTGTGGGAAATGTTACAGAAAATATCAAACAAGTTTGACAAGACATCATCAGATGCCAGCTATGCGTGTGACGTTTCCAAGCCTGTTCCTTTTTCTCGTTTGAGCAGTGGGTGAAGGCGAGGGCAAAACACGCCGAGAGTTTATTTCTGTGACAAAGAAACTTCAGTGTTAGTACTATAAGGTGTGGGAAGAGAATGAGGAAAATGACAGAAGGAGACAGATATGGAAATAAAGCTTGGAAATAAACATTTTTTTTTTGGAGAGAAGAGAATATGCAGGAATCTCAAAGATTGAACCTAAGCACACAGGAGTCAAATCTTTCCCAGGTCAGAGACTCAGCAGAGCCCTGACAGGTGACACTGGTCCCTGGCGTTAAGCTTGAGCATTTCGCCACCACTCTGAGCACCAGCAAAGGGGTGAAACAATCACCCCTTTGGAGAAACAACGGAGAAGCTTGGAGAAAATCATTTCAGTAGATCTATCCCTTTCTCAGCCACCAGCAAGTTTGTTCTGAAAACAAAAGCAAAAGAACTTTCCCCTCTACGCACTTAGAGCCATCATTAACGACTTACTCCCCGGTGCAATCCAGGAGACAGAAGTTCTTTTACTTACAGTTTGGGAGAAGAGAGATTTCTTAAGTATCAGAAGCAGTGGATGAGGCAGCAACTGCCAAATAGGACGAATCTTCGGAAATACACAGTTTTTATAGGTTTCACATCAAAGTGGTTTTTTTTTTGTTTTTTTTTTTCCCCTCCCTGTCTCACCTTGGCCTGCTAGGGAGGCGTTTCTCCAACACCACTGATTGGCTCGTAAACAGCCAATCCTCCTAATCAAGCTCACACAACTCATTGTACTCCCACAGTGTAAAAGCTCAGGGGATGTCTGAGGCCACAGAGCTCCTGATCCAGACACTTCATTTCACAGGTAAGGAAGCTGAAGCACAGAGGATGAGGGAATACCCCTAAATCGTACAGGTCAGGACTGACTGAGCCCCAGAGTCCTCCCAGGAAGAATGTTGGCTTAGCTCCAGCACTTACTAAACATATGACCTTGGTCAAGGTTTTTTCCAATTCCCTGAGCTTTGTTTCCCTCCTCTGTAAAGTGGGACCTCAATTTCCTAAGAGCATTAAATGAATTCATAAAATCCTTACGTGTAGGAGTCATTCAAAGACCCTACCTAACGCCCCCAAACCATACTGGGATCCTTAACGTTTTCAATGCCAGAACAGTGCCCCCCTACTCTATTCTTATATTCTTTCAATCTTTATATTCTTGTCTTCAAACTTGGAAAAAACTAGTATAAAACTCAACATGTTTAATCCAAGCCATCAGCAGTCTTAGAGTGGGTTTAGTCTACAGAATTTTTTCCTGAGCATTAAATTAAAATCTAATACAAATAAAATGTTGTGGGCCTCCTCTGTGGCATCAGCCAGGGAGAAACCCATATGGCGTGACAGACCTCTCCTGCCTCGCCCGCTGCTCCCCTCTGCAGTGTCTTTGGTCCGACTGCCTGTTCTGCTCCCCACTCTCTCTGGTGAATTCTCTCGCCTTCTGTGCCTCTGACCTGTACCCCAGTTCTTGCATAAATAAATAAATCTTTAAAAAAAAACAAATAAAATGTTGTTTGCTTCTTGAGACAAATAAAAGTTATGGGGAACTATAAAAATAATGGAATAGGGGCCTCTCCGGTGGCGCAGCGGTTGAGCGCTGGGCTGCAAAGCTGCCCTCAGCCTCCACAGCACCGGTTCGATCCCCCGGCCGCCTGCGATGGTCCCACATGGCGCACAGACCACTCCTGCTGTGCCTGCTGCTCCCCTCAGCAGTGTACTTCGTCAGTCTGCCTGTTCTGCTCCCAGCTCTGGCTCTGGTGAATTCTCTCACCCTCCCGCGCTTCTGACTGTACCCAGTGCTTGCATAAATAAAAAAAAATAATGGAATAACTATGATAGAAAAGTATAAATTCTTAGGAACATATTGATAAAAAATGCAGGGAAGGGATGAGGGACAAAGCCCAGTGTAGTATGTAACACTACAGTTGATGGTGAAAAAGCACTGTCTTTTTGAGATGAAGGATAAAGAAGCAGAGAACTAGGCTGTCTAAAGAGAATGAAGGAAGAAGAGGTGCATGGTGATGAAATAATGGAGAATGGAGTTAGTAACACTGTTGGGGTTCAAGACTGTGGTTCAAACATCCCACCTGCTGAGATTTATATGATAGAAATAAGTTTACTTATGCTACGAGTACTTATTTTTGTTGTAACAGTGACAATGATTATTTTTTGGTGTTCTATGATGCATCTGGTTTTTTTTTATACATGATCTCCTAGTTCAGCATATCTCTGTCAAAAGATTTCTGACCCCATTTTCTGGATAAGGAAACTGATTCAGAGAAGGTGATAACTTGCTTAATCCTAGGCAGGTACACGGAGAGTCTGTCTCACTGTAAGTCAGTCATCTAAAGCAGAGCTGCTTGCATTTTGGTGATCATAGAATGCAGAGATTAGCTCTTTCCTCGCCCCCTCCCAGCTGTTCATAACCTTGGGCATTAATGAGGGGGAAATAACTTGCATCCGCAGACCTAGGTGGCCCCTGGTCTTGCTGGGCACCATTTCACATGAGCAACAGCCTGGCCAAGCATGTCAGCAGAGCATGAGCATGCCTGTCTCCAAGTGGACCTGCTTGCTACTGCTCCCATGACATCAACATCTGGCCACCCCCATGGTTTGATGTGCAGCTGAAATTCAAAGTTCAGGAACGCAAAGCTAAGGCTTACTGGACCTTAGAGAAACAGCTACTCCTGATGGAAGAGATTGCTGGAAGATTTTGTTGTTGGTTTTTTTTTTTTTAAGTCTCTTAACTCAGTAAAATGTTAAAAATTAAGGTATTGTGATATGAAGAAAGAGGCTGTGAAACACTGTGGAATCCCCCAACCCTCTGGTCCTCAATTTCATCATCTACAACATGGTGACTCCATTGCGCACTGTTAACCACCTCCACCACCACAGGTTGTTGTCCCATGAAGCCATAAAAAAGGAATTCAAAGACATTTTAGATAAGTAAGTAGAGGGAAACAAACTTTGTTTCAGAGAGTAAAGAAAAGTTTATTTAAAGGAAGAAAGTAAGGACTCCCAGGTATGATGTGCTTAGGAGCAGCAAGGAAGACATTGTGACCCCAGGTATTTAAACCCTAGGGGTATTTAAACCCTTTTTTCTCTTATCTTAGAGTTTACCTCTCCTGTCCAAGGCCTTACTCTCTCAATTTAACTGTTTTTGTTTAGTCTCCTGGACTTTCTGACCTCATCTCTGGAGTATATTTTGATTAGCACTTCTTAGAATTTACTGTTCTTATCTCTTTAACTCTCCCGAAGTCCCTGCCTGCACTGTCCCTGAAGCTGCCTAATTAACCCTAACTTGCCCAGGGACTCAGTGGGCTGGTATGCCTCTGTCAGAAACTGATGATGAAGCATGAATGAAATAACATATGACCAGGAACTTAATACAAGGGTAAGTTTTCATGAAATAACTGGGTCTGAATGTCTGAATGCATAACTCTGCTTTAAAGGCCTCCAACTGGTCAGTCATGGTCATTACTGACAATCCCTCCAACAGTTGCTGCATTTGTTCTACATTCCATATCCCATTCTAAAGACTCCTGATTTGAATATGATGCCTATATAAGTCAAACAATAGGCTGAGAGTTAAATGTCCTCATGCACAGTATGAGATCTGAGTCCACAAACAAACTTGTATATGCACGTAAATCTGCTGTATCATAGGGTTGCTCTCCATCGGAACAGTAATGGTATAGAAAAAGAACTTTCACAAAAAACAGGCCCCATCTACATAATGCAAAGAAGAACTATAGTTGAGCCAAAATATCTTTTCCAATCGATCTTCCAAAATAGCTTTTCCAAAATATCTTCTCCAATTTGTAATACAAATTTTACTCTATCGTATTGCAATCTGCTGTAGTGAGTGGGATGATTTTTGGACTTGAAGTCAGCAATCATTATCCTGATCACAGAGTTAGGACTGGTGTGATCTCAGCATAGTGCACAAATTTTTTTGTTGAGGTTCTGTGTGTGAGGCATTTTGTTAGCTACAGAGCCATTTTGTAGAGGATACACTTTCATGGAGAATACGAGTAAGACTGACCTGTTCTCAAGAAATGTATAATCTAAGAAGTGGGGCGGGGGTAGAGAACTGAGGTTAGGGTTTCATCAGATCAAACTAAATAGGAGAATGGATATGTAAGTACCAAGAGACCATGGTGGGGGTTATTGCAGTGTTCATAGAATACTGCATGAAGTAACATAAAAGGATTTTTTTTGTGTGTGGCCAAGTCATACTCTGTACCAATCAATTCAGCTCATCAGACTGTAAGACCTGAGGATGGGGGCAATGATGTCTTATTTCCCTACAGCGCCCAGTACCATGTCTAGAGTACAGTAGGTACCCAATTTTTTTTGACTAAATGAATCAATAAATATATGACTACATTCATCTCAATATCAGAAAAGTCTGGAGTAACTTGTCTTATAATTCTTCGAAATAATTAAGAGTCAGAATAAGACCATTGCTTCCTTCTAAACTATACTAGTTTCTATTATTAGGGTGATGAAGAGGCAGAGAGAGGCAGAGAGAATGGACTGCAGAATCTCACAAATTACTGAGTGGCCAGTGTTTACAAATTCTACCACGGCCAGCACTGACCACCAAAGCTCCTTTTCCCATAGTTCCTCCCAGTAGGCTGTTTATTGCTGTATCAGTGTTTTCTCTTTGCCTTTGCTCAATCATCTCAAAGTCCATTTTTTCCCACACTATCTAATCAGAATTGTCAGTTACTTATGTCATTTATGTCCTCTGACCTAGTAATATTTCTCTCACTATTCTTTATCTCTTTGCTGGAACTGTTTAGCTGACGGCGGGGAGACATTGTGAGCTGGTGGGAGAGTGGTTGGTGAGGAGGCTCCAGGTGTTAGTAGTGTCTCGTCCTACCTGTGACTAGCATGGGGCAGACAGAAAACACCTTCTCCCAACCTCTCCACCCTCATGTGCAAATGGTCCTAGAAATACCTCTCCTGTTTATCTTTACCACGTCGTGTGATGAGTAAAGAGTGTTATCTAGGTGAGCACCTTGAAAACTACACAGCCTTCAGAAATGCAAAGTGTTAGAAAATGTGCTACTTCAGGAAGCGGACATCACACTGCTCCCATGGCAGGGGCTGACATACAAATCTGTGACTCTAAAGCCAGCCATTCTAGAAAATTTATGACTAAGCCATCCTAAGCCTAAGCCATTCTAGGACCATGAATTCATCAACTATACAATGAAGGAAGGGCTGATAATATGGTCTTTCCACCCCACAAACTTCATGGTTTTATCATATATGTTTTCCTTGAACAAAGGAAATGGTTTTTAAAAATATATAAGAAACTGAGATTAGACCACAGAGTGTTTTCTTTGGAGAATTATTGTTGAACACTTTAGCATACAGAGGAGAAACTGGGGAGTTCCAACAGCCCTACCCTCCCCCATCTTGCCCTTAGTCCCCTAGTCTTTGGATTTGCTTCCCTCTACCTCAGCACTCTTGAGGAATGAAGAGTGCCAGGCTGGTCAGATCCAGATTTATGCTTCCCTGGAAAACTGGTTAAAAGGCCCTGACTGTGGGGGCAGGGCAGCCAGGTGGCACATGCACACAGTAGGCCTGGCAATGGCTCAGTGACTAC